ATACAGGCATGCGCCACCATGCCGGCTAATTTTTTTGATATATTTTTTTAGTTGGTCAATTAATTTATTTCTATTTTTGGTAGAGACGGGGTCTCGCTCAGGCTGGTTTCGAACTCCTGACCTTGAGCAATCTGCCCTCCTCGGCCTCCCAAAGTGCTAGGATTACAGGCGTGCGCCACCACACCCGGCCCCTCCTATGTGTTCTTTAAAGGTCAGTCTTCCTCATGGAAGACTTTGCTGCCCCCACCCTGGCTGGAAGTGCCTGTGGCAGACTTCTCTGGGTATACCACAACTGTCTGCTCAAGCTTGTCTTTGTCTCTTTGAGGATGGAAGCCAGGTCTTCTTTGGTGATGACCCCAGTATCAGTGGAGTGTGTGCTCCACAGTCTGCCAGCTACTGTCGCCTTTACATCTGAGGGACAGCTGTTGTTTCTCCTGCATGTTCAGAATGGAGAGGGGCACGTGTGTGAGCAGTAGTCCCAGGGCTGTGCACAGAGGCACACAGGAAGCTTGGATGCCAGCTTCCCTGTGCTCTTGCTCTACATGTCAGAATGTTAGAGACTCATTTATGACACTCACACCAGGTGTCACTCACACTTTAGGGGTCATATTGCCTGTTAAGGGTCTCCACGAGGATGATATCTTCAGACCCTGCTTTTCTAGGCAGTGTCCTCAAAAGGCTTGCTGCTGCCAGGAAACACTTCACACTTTTTCTTAAACAGGACCCAGTGACAAGAATAGAGATTCTTCGGCCAGGTGCAGTGGCTCATGCCTGTAATCCTAGCACTGTGGGAGGCCGAGGCAGGTGGATCACTCAAGGTCGGGAGTTTGAAACCAGCCTGAGCAAGAGCGAGACCCTGTCTCTACTAAAAATATAAAGAAATTAATTGGCCTTGGCCGGTCGCAGTGGCTCAGGCCTATAATCCTAGCACTCTGGGAGGCCCGAGGTAGGCGGATCGCTCAAGATCAGGAGTACGAAACCAGCCTGAGCAAGAGCAAGACCCCGTCTCTACTATAAATAGAAAAAAATTAATTGGCCAACTAATATATATAGAAAAAAAATTAGCTGGGCATGGTCGTGCATGCCTGTAGTCCCAGGTACTCAGGAGGCTGAGGCAGTAGGATTGCTTGAGCCCAGGAGTTTGAGGTTGCTGTGAGCTAGGCTGATGCCATGGCATTCACTCTAGCCTAGGCAACAAAGCGAGACTCTGTCTCAAAAAAAAAAAAAAAAAAAAAGAAGTATGTTTTTTTATTGATATTTTTTATAGTCTATGTGGTATTAGAATTTAAAAAATATAGAACAAGTTATTTATGAATATTTGTTAGAAATATTACATAAGTATAATACTGCTCCTAAATATACTAAGTTTATATCAGTCATGTTTGAGATCAAATAATGATTTTTTGGGTTTTTTTTTATGCGTGGAGTTCATTTGTGGATATTTCACTGCTTATCCTTATTTTCCACTGATTATGTTGATGAAGGTAACATCAAATTAGATTTTGATTTCAGACTCTAGAAAATATCTGATAATGATTTAGCATTAGCTGGTGCCATAGGAAATTTTTGTTCTCTAAAATAAGAAACTCTATAAACTATTATATACTCTGAAGGTAGACTCTATTTGAGTCAAGATGTAATTAGGTCAGTGTACTTCGGAGAACTTCTTTCCTTGTTTCATTCTCATAAAACGTTAAAGCCTCTTCTTCTGGATAGACTTCTTGACATGGTAATAAAGAAAAAAAAGAATAAAAATGTAAATTAAAAGATAAAAAATTTAAAAATAAATAAATAAATAAAACTTTAAAGCCTCATAATTATCCCACATTCATGCCACTGAGGAGTGCAGTGACTTTTGACATCTTCTGACAGATGCTGGGTTTTCAGCAGCAGACAGAGAAGCCAGTCTGGAACTTATTAAACTGGACATTTCTAGAACGTTTCCTAATCTCTGCATTTTCCAGCAAGTAAGTAGTGGTGATTTGTTGCTTTCAAGTATGTTTCACCTAAAATTTATAGATTTCAAACTGCATATATTTGTGATCAAGTTTGAAAAGTTCTTAGGTTTTTTTAGAGACTGGGGTTGGGGTAGGCTGGTCTTACTGCTAATAATTTAGACTTTTTCAAATAAGTATAACTGATCCTTTCCAATGACTATTTAATATGACCATACTTTTTCTTCTAAAGATGTCCTTATCCTTTCGAGATGCATGCCTTGCAGCCTCTGTAGGTGTAGTACAGGAAGGGCCCTGTGGGTGGCCTCATCTGGCAGGTGCTCTTCTGTTTTCAGCACTGTGTGTAGCAGCAGCACCCACTCAGCAGGGCCGTCACAGTGTGATTGGCTTCAGCTTCAGTGAGCCCAGTGCAGTGAGCCTGGGGAGCAAGGGAAATCCTTGGCAGCCTCGGTGTAGCCAGGGAAGGTGGGCGAGGAGAGGTGGTGGGGTTTCTGAGCATGTGGGCTAGGAGATAGTGACACCACTGGGAACAGCAGCCAGCTGTGGGAGATAGGACACGCTCCTTGGATGGCAGTGAGAGCAGAGTGGAGCCTCTCGATGGGCATTTGAGCATAGGACAGGGCTGCCAGCAGCAGGTTGTGGAGTTCTGAGCAGAGATGTTTGAAGACCTTGTATTCTTTGAGTCTGTAGACGTTTATCTGGGGGTCTTGTTTGACCCCTCCCTTATCTAATCTATAATGGGTTGTTTTGGAAGGTTCACCTTGCAGCTTAATTTTTCTGCATCTGTCCCTTCTCCGGTCTCACTCCCTTTATTTAGTTCAAATTCTCATCTTCATGGTTCACTGGCCTCCTGCACTCTTTCCATTCACTTCATTGCCTCCAGAACAGTCTTGGAATCTCCAGTCTGACACTGTCTTGCCCAGGTTTCTAGCATCATGCCTTGCATGCAGTAGGTAACAGTAAAGGATAGTGTAATAAATTAGAACAAATCAGTTAAGTGGCCACCAAAATGAGCAGGCCTGGAGTTGTAGAGGCTAGATGGGCTTAGCAGAACTGTGGTTGTGTCCAGGCACTCTGACAGCACAGGGCAGGTGCTGCTCCTTCTCCTAGTGGTGCAAGGATGGGGTGGGGTGGTGGAGGATAGACGATCAGGGGAGGAGGTCAGGGATGGGGGCCACAGAGGAAGGAAGTGGCTCTCAGGCTATGCTTGGACTAGGTTTGGATGGCAGTATAACCAGAGAACAGGAAAGGCATTGCAGGCAGAAGTTGGACTAGAAAGGAAGCATCAAACAGCTGATTGTTTGGGGAATCCCCAGTTCCTTTTTGAAGAGAGAACCTTGCTAAAGGAATGAACAGAAAAGACACTATTAAATTTTATTCCATGACCCCTACTTGCAAATGGTTACTCTGTTCCGAGGTGGAGACCAGCTGGAGTCCGGGGGCGGAGGGGATGGAAATGAGTAAGAGTGCTCCCTGCTCTGGAGGAGGGAGAGTGCTAAGGGCAGAGCTAGTTCTGAGGCACACTTGCCCTCTGGCTGAGAAGGGTAGTCAGAGAACCAGGATGGGGTCCAGGCATCTGAGGGAGTAGCCCTTTTAGAGCTGGTAGCATTGAAGCTGGGTATCACAAGTGCTTTGGGAAGGGAGGACTGAGAAGAGGCTTTGGCTTCCAGGATCAGGGAGTTTTTGCAGTGTCAGAATAATTCTGCAAAGCAGAGGACACAAGAGCCTGAGTGTTGAGGGGAAGTGTAGGGCACCGTGTTCTACCAGCTCGTTACAGTATCTTAGGTCTATAGGCCCATCTGCCCCTTGCCCATTTCCTCTCTGCTCCAGTTGGCTCCCTATGCCTGCTGGAGTCCCCCGTGGTTCTGCTGCTGTGACGTTGATCAACTCAGGGCTCAGTGAGGACTCCAGTGATGCCTGGTGGGATGTTCTTATTCTCTTACTTCCCCCATTTTCTAAATCCAGGCAGAAACATTCTTATTTGGGCCTTCAGAAATCTTTGCAAAAGAGGAAAGGGAGAGAATCTACAAAGCTACCAAAAAGTTTGGTCTTGGTGTCTGGTTCATAAATACCATGAGCACTGCCCTGGCTTTGTGGCAGGCAGTTGACTTTCTGGGCAGCCTGTTTTTCAGAACCCTTCCTGTCCCACCGGGCACATTTCGGATTTTCTGCTGTTCTTTCTTCACCCTGAGTCCCAGGTCCTTTCACACCCTGCACCCACAGTTTATGTACCTCCTCACTGGGCTCTGGAGGAGGGCCCAGAAAAAGCTGCTTTATAGAAAGGAGTTTTACCTGTGATTTCAAAAGATTTGGGTTTGAATCCCAGACTGCCTTCTTACTAGCTTTAGGGCCTTGGGAAAATAACTTAATCTCTTTGAACCTTAGTTTCTGCATCTATAATATGAGGGTGATCATACCAGCCGAAGAGGGCTGTTGACAGTATTTGGCATGTAACAGTGTTAGTTATTATTAAATATTTTTGAACATAATTTAAAACTAAATCCAACCAAGGTTGAATAGTCATTTTGTGTCAGGCAGCCACAGAAGTGCGAGTGAGTGTGATGACAGAGTGGCTGCGGCGTCCAAGGAAGCTTGTGTTCCTGACCGTTTAATCCAGTGTAGGATCTCCCAGCCCTGGTAGAAAGTAGCTTAGTAAGCTTTTTACTTAGCAGTGATTGCATGTGCTAAAAAGAAAGGGAAAATTCTGGCAGGACTGGCCTGAAGAAAGGGGAATGAATAGAACTCAGATAATAGCCGGAGCAGGGTTTCCTAAAATGCTTTTTGAAGTGTTAGTTGTGTGCAGTGTTCCTGAGGCATCTGTGGTCAGAGGGGTTCAGGGGTCCCTGTGATTATGGGCCTGGAGTGCTTCTCGAGTAGTCACAGAGCCCTGAGAGTGTGCTAAAGCCCCGCAGAAGGCCACGCCCAACTTTCCAATAGCCAGAACCCCAGAATATTTCTCATGGAACATCTTTTATGGACTCAGCTTCAGAAACGTTGACTTTGAGAATCACTGGATTATTGTCTGGGTGCAGAAAGATGTGCAGAAGGAGGAGCGTGAGTTCTAAGCTCTAGGCTAGAGGTCTCTTTGGATGGGGTTGGGGAAAGAAGGGCAGAGAGCTTGCCTTTTCTTTCTCTCTGAGTTCTTTTGCATGTTTCTCCCTCAGTCTGTGGTTCCCAAAGTTCTAGATCTCATAAATGGGTGATATTAAAAAAAAAGAGGCAGTGGGAAAGGAAAGTGTCAGGAAACAGAGATGTCCAAAACAAGTTAAGAGCACTTAAAATAAGGAAGTACCATCTCCTAGCACCAAGTGAGAGGGAAGGATATGATTACAATGGTAGAAAATCCTTTAAGTTGAAAACATTTAGCTTTAAGAAAAGTTCATAGATTTCAGTTTCTTGAGCAAATAAAAAAAAAAAAAAGAAAGAAAAGTTCAATGTCATACACTTATTTTTCTCATTTAGCCTTGGACTGGATAACACTCTTACAGTCACATTAGTTCTTAGGTTGGCATTTGGTACCACTGCAGATCACCACCCCCTACCCTCTTAACCCTGGATGTTGTTTTTTGCCCTCTTTTTGCTATTTTTTTTTCTTTTGTCCTGCTGTGATTTGGAAATGTCTCTTCATTTCCTTAGCTTTTTACATATGTCAGAATATGATGGTCTAGGCCATGGCATTCTTTTGTCAGCTACCTTTGGTCACCTGTGGAATGACTTTCCAGTCATTTACCATGAGTGATTTTTATTCCCTGTGTTAACTGGTAGGTACATGGTAGACATGGACAGTAGGTTTAATTTGGGTTCAGCCAGTCCTTTTATAGTGTCATCTGACACGCTAACATCAGTGTGAGGCATTTCTGCGATTTCTCCTGTGCTCAATTAGATAAAAAATTTCAACACTTAAAAATTTTTGAATGCAGTTACAGGAGCAAATGGAAATCTTGGAGGGATGGGAGAGTTGGGACAATGTTTGAAATAAAATGGTAGTGACTAGAACTTAAGACTTAGAATGTATTTCCTACACTTGCCATTCAGAACAACAAAGAAGAAACAGAATGAAAGGCAAGGGAAGGGAGGCAGAAAGCACAGTCTGGATGATGGGCACAGCTGGGAGACAGTCTGAGTGACAGTGGGCAGCCTCCTATTTTGAAGGACCCCGGGTACCTGGCTCACTGTTGAACTTTGAAGGGGCACACAGCTCTATAGCAGGAGCCAAGTTAAGAGTATTTTTCTAGGGTGATCCTCATACCTGACCACCAGCTTTTTTCAAAGCAGTTTCATAGATTGAGCTATAGACTTTTTATTTTTTATTTTTTTTTTCCACATAACAATGCTGGTATATAAGCTATAGACTTTTTAAACTGAGAATTGGTAGTTAGTTTATTAAAGTATGTAGTATATATAAAGCCGCTGGCATAATGCTTGGCAAATAGTTCCTCCTCTGAAAATAGCAGGTGTGACTGTGGCAGCAGCAGTATCACATGTTATTCTGAACACTAACAATACTTATGCATGTGTTGTTTTTGGTGTGTTGATCCTTTTAGGGTGGTCCGTATCATGACATGTTGCACAGTATTTTGGGCGCTTATACTTGTTACCGACCGGATGTGGGTTATGTAAGTGAAGTTTCTCAGTATTTTTACTGTTATTATCTAAAAAGAAAGTGAAATATTGTCCAGCACATTTTAGCTATAAATGTTAAATACCTTAGTTTTTTTGTTGAGGAGTGTGAAAAGTCTCATGGTAAATGAATTGACTCAGTTTCCTTATAAAGAAATTGAGATACATTGGCTGCTCTCTGGCATTAATCACATTTTAATTAGATGCATGTGATTTTTTTCCAGTGTTAAATTAAAAAAGCCTTAACCATTTTAAAAGCAGTAACCAATTTTAAAAAGGTATTGCTGATATTTCTGCACCTTAGCAGTTGTGTGTATGTGCTTGCATGGTTTTAAATTAAGCATACGCGTAGATATACGCGTTTATAGCTCGAGTACACCATACATACTAAAGGGCAATATTTCAAATACAAAACACCTAGGAGGGTGGTTTCTGGTTTTCCATTTGGGCGAGGTGGGGTGGGGACTGAGGGAGAGCAGACTAGGTGGCTGATGTGGCAGAGTGGTGGCTCTGAGTAAGGGGAGTGGATGGGGGAGTGCGGTGGCTGTATAGACCCTTCTAGCATGAGGGCCTTTGGTTCCTCTTTAATAAAATGAATGAGACTGGGAAGGACAAGTAGGGAGAGAGGAGAGAGTCTGAAGAGAAATGGGTTAAAGGGTACAAACATACAGTACCAGAGAAGAAATCAGTTCAATGTTTGATAGTAGAATAGAATGACTATACTTAACAAATGTATTGTACTCAGGTGATGGACACCCTAAATACCCTGACTTGATCTTAGTGCATTACATACATGTAACACAATTTCACATGTACCTTATAAATTTGTACAAATCAAAAAAATAATAAAATGAACAAGCTGCTCTGACCTTGTTGTTAGTTTAACACACCTTTTTCTCCTTCCTCAGGTTCAGGGCATGTCGTTTATAGCGGCAGTATTGATCTTGAACTTAGATACTGCAGATGCCTTTATTGCTTTTTCTAATCTTTTGAATAAACCCTGTCAAATGGCATTTTTCCGAGTGGATCATGGCCTTGTGAGTATTCTTTGTGTACATGCTCTGGGTATTGTCTCTACACGTCAAGAGTTGACTAATCATTTAGTCTTTTCAGTGGTAAAAAGAATGCATTTCCCTCTAGGAAGAGATGTTTAGAATAAGCAGCATTATAAGGTAGAGAATTATTTGGGCTTTGACTTGAACTTAAATTTCAAAACATGGTCAATAGCCATATGTTTTTCTTAGTATGAATTTCTTAGTACATTCTTTTAGAAGGACAGTACCTGTATTTCTGAAAATGTATTCTTTAAGTAAGGGAGATGAGGTGGCTCTATAAACATACACATTGTGTTAAAGGAAAAGCTCAGTAGCAGTGTCCACATTTAGGTCTATCCAAGAGAACATCTTATAATTGAATTGTATTACTGCTTATTGTCACATTGGGGCTTTGTTTCATGAAGTGTGGTCATACACAGGAGAAAGGAGACATGTTTAAGACCATGCTTCTTTTTTTTTTTTTTTTGAGACAGAAGTCTCACTGTGTTGCCGGGGCTAGAGTGCCCTGGCGTCAGCCTAGTTCACAGCAACCTCAGACTCCTGGGCTCAAGTGATCCTTTCTTGCCTCAGCCTCCCGGAGTAGCTGGAATACGGCATGGTGCACCATGCCCAGCTAACTTGCAAAAAATAACTAGGTGGCTGTCCAGTTAATTTCTTTCTATTTTTTAGTAGAGACGGGATCTCGCTCTTGTTCAGGCTGGTTTTGAACTCCTGACCTTGAGTGATCTGCCTGCCTCGGCCTCCCAAAGTGCTAGGATGATAGGCGTGAGCCACTGTGCCTGGCCCATGCTTCTTTATTAAAAAAAAAAAGCAGGGCCGGGCGTGGTGGCTCATGCCTGTAATTCTAGCACTTTGGGAGGCCGAGGCGGGCGGATTGCTCAAGGTCAGGAGTTCGAAACCAGCCTGAGCGAGACCCTGTCTCTACCAAAAATAGAAATAAATTAATTGACCAACTAAAAATATATATACAAAAAATTAGCCGGGCATGGTGGCGCATGCCTGTAGTCCCAGCTACTCGGGAGGCTGAGGCAGTAGGATCGCTGAGCCCGGGAGATTGAGGTTGCTGTGAGCCAGGCTAATGCCACGGCACTCACTCTAGCCTGGGCAACAAAGTGAGACTCTGTCTTAAAAAAAAAAAAAAAAAGGCAGTTTGTTTAGTGTACTACCATGGCTGGGTCTTTACCACACTGAATAAATAGAAGGAGTTGGCAGTAGTTGCACTGGAGGTGGGCCCAGCACACCTCTGTATGGTCCAGATGAGGAAACGAGGTTCAGAGTGAAGGGACTTGTTCAAAGCTTACATCTAGGAAGACTGAGATTTGAATACATTCTGGTCACCAGTTTAACAAACCCATCAGTTTTTTCTCCTCCCACGAGAAGGTTCAGAAGAGAAGCCCATCAGCTTTTAAATTAGCATTGCCTTGATTTGCTGACAGTTATCACTAGTACTTAAAGATCAATACAAATCTAATAGTTTAGATTGGCTAGGGAATATTTCTTCTTTAATATCTTAAGGATTCTTGAGTATTTCTTGCTCAGGCAGTACATACATTTTTTAAAAAGTATTTAGAAACTGTTGCTAAACTGGTGGTTATTGGGGTGGTATAAATTGACAGAGTCCTTTTGCAAGACAATTTGATATTAAGTCTCAATAGCTGTAAATAGCATTGGCATGCAATTCTGCTTATAAGAACCAATTCTAAGAAAGTCATAAATGTGGACAAGACATCAGGCTCAAAGATACTCATTACATAATTATTTATAATTGTGAATTTGATAACAGTTTAAAATGAGATTAAGGAGAATGCAGAATAGTAAATTAAAATTTGGTGATATGTCTAATGCAATAGTGATGTTTGCAGAGAACTCTAATATAGGAAAGTGTTTAAGATAAAGTCTTAATTTTTTAAAAAATGTGTAAAATAAAATATACACTATAATGGCTATCATATTTAACAATAAAAGGAAATATACCAGGAAGTTAGTAGTGTTTATGGATGGATGATTTATGGATTAGTAGTGTTTATGTATTTTCTAAGTTTTCTACAATGAAAATTTACAGGTATTACTTTCATAATCAGGTTAAAACTTACCTTTCTAAGAAAAATAATTGTCAGAAATTGAAAAAATCTCTAGGAAAGATTTTTACCCTTGAGAAAACTCATTGTTAGTAATATATGTACTGGCCTTCCATTGCTTGTGATATTAATTCCTAGATATAAGTTTAATTTTATCTTACATATAATTAAATTATTTTTATCTAAATTTCTAATTTTGAAGGTAACACCTCAGCTTTCCCTTTGGTAACATATGCTAAAAACTGTGAATTTTAGCTTATTTTTAAAGGAAAAAGCATAGAACCATAATGCTGAGTGGTGTTTCTCACCAGCAGCACTGTTGACATTTGGACTAGGTGACTGTTGCAGGGGCTGTTCCGTGCATTGGAGGATGGTTAACAGCGAATGCCAGTAGTCCACACTCCACCACCTCTAGTTGTGACAATCAGATGTATCTCCAGACATTGGCAGATGTTCCCTAGGAGGCAAAATCACCCCTGTTGGGAGCCACTGGTTTATAGTTTAACCCTTTCATTAAGACCAGCAAACAAAATCAGAGTTGTGATCTGCCCACATGCATCCACCTAGCCCGTGGTGGGACAGAACTGGGCCACCTTTCAGATGTATGTTGCTCTCAATCCAGTTGGAGTTCTTTTTCTTTCAGTGCTGCTCCCATGCTTTGTGCATTTTGTTTTCTTGCAAAACCTGCAAAAAGTTGAAAAACAAGTTCCTGTAAAATACAGACTGTGACTTTCTTCCTTTTCCTTTAGTGTTTTCTCCCTAATTGTATTCAAAAGTCTGCATTTTAAAGCTAGAGCCCTTGCCTTGGATATTATCAGTATATTCTCTCTAGAAGTGCTAGGGGTTGAGAGTGGGGCATGATTGCTTTTTTTGGATAATTTTAGATAGTTTGTACATTCCTGGTTCCTAGAAAAGAGGATACCTATAAGGCTTAGCGTAGGCAGGGGGACAGCGTGGATGCAGGTCCCAGTTTCACCGTGTGCTCAGGCTGTGCCTTCACTTGGCAGGTGACACAACTGTTCAGGGTTTCAGTTTTCTTATATATAAATTGAAGAAATAATAACATGTAGCTAGTAATGTCATTGTAAAGATTAGAAATGGTGCTTGTTTATAATTTGCCCATATAGTGCCTACAATGAGTTGCTCCTCAACGTGTTAGTAATTACATGAGAAGATAATTGTTAGATTCTAAAGGTATAAATATCTGAATTTTTTGTAGATCAGAAACTTGATAATTAGTTTATTAGTATATTTCACATTATCTTCCTAGATGTTGACTTATTTTGCTGCATTTGAGGTATTCTTTGAAGAAAATTTGCCGAAATTATTTGCTCATTTCAAGAAGAACAACTTAACTCCAGACATCTACCTAATTGATTGGTAAGACTGAATCTCCCCTGTGTTTTCAGAGTGTTTTCTCAGCCCCTGCCCCATTTTCCACTGTCCTCACTGTCAGCTGCTTTTAGGGGTCAGCTGAGCCCACTGTGCTGCTTTCTAGCCTTCCCTGACTGCCCTGCCCTTGAGCTGCCCTTTTGTTTTCTGAGCTCATATTTATTACCGTCTGTGACTGGTCTTTCTGAATTCCCTCAAGGGCAGAAATAGTGTTTTGGACCTATTTGTTTCCAAAGTGCTATTTGTACGTTTGTTCAATGAGGTATCCCTAAGCACCAGGTCTGTGCAGGAGTTCTGCTAGGCACTGGAGGTCGGGTGGTGAGCAAGGCCCAGTGTGTGCCTGTTGAGCTCCTGGCTAGTGGGAGAGGCATGTGTCCATGGGCACTGTCGAACGTGTGGTGAGTGCTTCCCAGTCTGTCTGGCGGTGTTGGGGCCCAAAGTAAAAAGAAAGGAGGTTGGAAGGCCAGGTCATGGTGGATCTTAGACACTAAGCCTTGGGCAGGATTACAGAGGCCAGAGGGGATAGTAGGAGGATTTTGCTTGGGTCAGATCCAACTGCCAGTTTTAAGTTACTTGAGCAGCAGGGGAGATAGACAAAATACCTAGGATAGAGAGACAAATTAGGGGAAAACCACAGTGGATGGAGAGTAGGTCCCAGTGGATATTTTGTGGATATGCAAGAAAACCATGGTCCACTCCTGAGTGCAGGCTGGTGAGGGGTTTGCTGGTGCCACCAGCTGAGATCAGAAACACAGAGGGAACAGATTTGGCAAAGGTGGTTAATGGATTTGACTTTAGACATGGTGATCTTGAGGTACCTGTGGGACATTTAAGTAGGGCCATCCTGAGACATACAGGTAAGAGGATCCAGAGAGTTCTGCACTGGAGCAGTGACCAGACAAGTCTTTGTACTAAGGTAGATGTGGTCGCCAAGGAGGGGGTATGGTATGGTTGTTACCCCAGAGGGCACATGTTTGAGGGCCAGGTGAGAGGGCTGTGAGACTGTGACAAAGGGAGCATCCTCTCAGATCACATGGTAGGAAGAGCGTGCCTCAGGACTCAGGAGCCCCAGCCCAAACCTGGCTTCCTGCAGTTGTCTCGTGGCCTTGACGAGGGCTGTGAAACCTCTCTGTGCCCCGGTTTCCTCATCCGGAGGTCACGATGATTAACCTCCAGGGTGCTGTAAGGTGACCACCCGGCACCACCCTGACTCACAGAAGGAGAGAAGATGTTACTTGACCAGAAGGGTCTATTTAGGCTTTGACATTAACCTATATAGTATATTTAGGACCAGCTGGCTGGTTGTCTGGTTTGATTCCTTCCCCCCCCCCCTTTCTTCAGGAAGAAAAAGGCCTTCTAGGAGAAAAATTCAAGTATAAGTTTGAAATGAGGCTAAATTCCTCAGATAAAGCAGACTTGTCTATACCCTTGGAAATGACCCTTTAGGATTCTTGGTGTTTGTTGCTTCTGTCCTAAACTCTGAGACTGTTCTGACTGCACTAATATTTTCCCATGAATGATGAGGGTTTGGAGGTTGAAGCTGGTAGCTGAGGCCACAGGAGCTGATGTCACTGGGGATAGTGGAGATAGTGACCATTGGACCAGGAATGGGGGGGGGCTGGCCTATCTGGCTGTGCTGGGTGGAGTGTTTAGGGCCCCCTTTAAGAGCACCTTTAGTCAGCAGATGATAGTTTCTTCATACTTCTACATAGGCTGCCCCAGTGTTCATTTAACTGTGAACCCTGACCCCTTGGATTACGTAGGCTGGAACTCATGACACTGGAAGAGGGTATCAGGAAGGGAGAGGATCTGGACAGAGCTAGAGCCTTCAACTTCTGCCTTATCTATTTTAGGGTTTCCAAGTTAGATTTTTAGGATTCTAGGCTAAAAGTCAATAGTGTCTTTCAAATATTTTTCACCCTGACTTGCAATGACATACATTTTACGTATGATCCAGTATGTGGCTCTGTGTGCAGAAACTTAATTTGTGTATGTGCCAGGAACAAAAGTTTCATGAGGCAGTACCTAACCTTGACTATGTGTGATGCATTCTAAAGCATTATTTTAGTCTGTGCTGTTTATTCAAAACAATGCTGGTGATAATCTACTCTTGTCACCTTTACAGTCCCCTGATCATTGGTAGGGTTGTACCTGGTAGTGTGAAAAGCACCAGCCTGGATGGTCACAGTCCACACAGGGCGAAGGTGAAGGGCACCTGCATTTATTGACTATTCACATATCCTCAGGGAGCGACTCCTTCCGGTGCATTGTAGCATTTCTGTTTTTAGAGGAGAAAACTGAGGCTCAGTGAGGCGGTGATTTGCCCAAGATCATGTGGCTAGCTGAATGGCAGAGTTGGTGTTCAAACTCAACCTGGCTCCAGAGCTTTTCCACAGAGTCCTTTCTAAGGGATTTTGTTATAAGGCAGCATAACTCAGGACCTGGGTCCCCTAGCTCGAGTTCCAGAGCCCACATCGGCACAGTAAGGCCCCTAGGGAGTGTAGAACTTGAATTAGACTTCTCTGTAATGAAAGGTGAAGCAGACTATGGGTAGCTCAACAAAAAGGAAGTACCAAGGAATTTCCCTACTAAGACCTTTCATTTTTGATGTGATTGGTGCTCGGGGTCTTGTGAATGCTACCCATGGTGCTGTGATGAGGCCCCTCAAGTGGTGGCCTATTCTTTTTTTTGGAGACAGAGTTTCTGTGGCTTGGGCTAGAGTGCCGTGGCGTCGGCCTAGTTCACAGCAACCTCAAACTCCTGGGCTCATGCCATCCTCCTGCCTCAGCCTCCTGAGTAGCAGGGACTACAAGCATGTGCCACTGTGCCCGGCTAATTTTTTCTATATATATTTTTAGTTGTCCAGCTAATATTTTTCTATTTTTTTAGTAGAGATGGAGTTTTGCTCTTGCTCAGGCTGGTCTCAAACTCCTGAGCTCTAACGATTCTCCCACCTCTGCCTTCCAGAGTGTTAGGATTACTAGGTGTGAGCCATTGCACCCCGCCTGGTGGTGGCCTATTCTTTTTTTTGTTTTGTTTTGTTTTTTGAGACAGAGTCTTGCTTTGTTGCCCAGGCTAGAGTGCGTGCCATGGCATCAGCCTAGCTCACAGCAACCTCAGACTCCTGGGCTCAAGCAGTCCTACTGCCTCAGCCTCCCAAGTAGCTGGGATTATAGGCATGCACCACCATGCCTGGCTAATTTTTTCTATATGTATTAGTTGGCCAGTTAATTTATTTCTATTTATAGTAGAGACGGGGTCTTGCTCTTGCTCAGGCTGGTTTCGAACTCCTGACCTCAAGCAATCCACCCGCCTCAGCCTCCCAGAGTGCTAGGATTACAGGTGCGAGCTACTGCACCCAGCCGGTGGCCTATTCTTGATGAAATTTTGACTGCTCTCCAGAATAAGGACCAACAACACAGGACTAAGCGTACATAGGAAGTCCTTAGTAAATATTTAAGTTGAACTAAGCACAGAAAAACCACAGTTTGTTCTTTTAGTCAGCATTTATGGATGGTCTGTACTGATCCAGGCAATTTGTTGGTTGTTAACAGCTAGGTGAAAACTCAGGTCAGAAACAGGGTAGGCAGTGGGGAGGAAGCAAAGAGAAAGAACAGACTCTACCTATGACCTACCCTAGAAGCTACCATTTAAGAAACACTCACCGCTTTGGTCTTCACAGTATCCAGAAGCAGGTGTACCTGTTTCTGAGCACAAAGGAAGTTACTGAGGCCCACTTTCCCAGTATCACACCCACAGTGAGTAGTCCAGGGAAATCTGAATCCAGAGCCTTCACTTGCTCTGCTATATCACACCACTTTCCCAAAAGCTACCTCTCACACCCTTAACAGCTGGACCTGTCTCCGAATTGCATATGCATTGTGGATCTGCTCTGTGCCCGTGGAGTGTAAAATATACTGAATTCCTGGGCTCAAATAACTGCTTGAGCAGAAAAGTCTGTTTCTACTCCACATCAGAGGGTTGAGTGGCCTGTGTGGTTTTGCCAGCTGAGTGTCCTGGGGGAGCTGTCTGGGTGCTCAAATAAGATAGCTACAGTTTGGGTGAGAAAAATCTCCTTTGCTACCACACTGTCTGCTCACTTAGAGCCTGCTTCCCTCCACCCCTGCTCCAGCCACACTCTGAGGGTGTCATCCGTTTCCTGCTGCTGCTGTAACAAAGCTTTGCAAGTTATCTCTGTGTCCTTAGTGCCAGGCCCCATGCTTTGCTAAGTGTCCCAAGTCAAGGAATGCATCTGTTCCTGAGGGTCACCTTCCTAGGTTTAAGGTCGGGTGCTTGGCCCTCCCCAGCATGGACTCTGTGTTGTCTAACCTAGTGGCTCACAGATGGCAGGGATCGTATTTAGTTGTGGTTTGCCAATGTTTCTTATGTAAACATGAGGGTCAGAACAAAGGCTCATCAGCCATCTTCATCTTCTGTAGTGTTCGAACTGGCAGGGATCCACATTTTATGAGAGGACTGAACGAGGTCATTTAACTTTTCAAAATATTTCCTGTTGCTGTCTAATGGCAGAATTATTTGAAGGCATGAGTGGCTTTAGTAATAAATAATCTTGAATTAATAAAAGAATCAAGCAGCATATTCCATATCATGATTAATGTTTCTTGATGTGATATTTACTGATACTTGGAGATCCTATCATTACATTAAATCTCTACCTTAAAGGAATGGTTCAACATGAAGTGACTTTAGGAAGATTTCAGTTTGCATTGCAACCTGCATTCTAGCTCTTAACTTCTGGATTACAAGTTTGCCCAAGATTAGGAGCAGGAAGTATCTTGCTAAACTTACAAGGGCCCAGAAGCGTGTCTGGCATGCACTGGGGCCTTGGTGGCCTTGGTGAACATGTGGAAGAAGGGAGTAGCAGCCTGTGGCCATCAGTGCATGCTGGGCTAGCCAGAGATGGAGCCTGCACTCACCCTGAACAAAGTTATTTACCTTGTGTCTGCTGGCCTCTGCTAAGTGCTGGAGACTAGAACGCTGCTGAGCTTGGGTTAGAAAGTACTCTGGGGGCACAGAGGTGGCTGTACATGTCGGATTGCTTTCAGGATCAAGATTGTTCTATTTTATTTTATTTTTTTTAAGAGACAGGGTCTTGCTCTGTCACCCAGGCTGAAGTGCAGTGGCACAGTCATAGCTCACTGCAACCTTGAACTCCTGGGCTAAAGTGATTCTCTGCCTCAGCCTCCCGAGTAGCTGGGACTACAGGTGTGTGCCACCATGCCTGGCTGATTTTTAAAACTTTTTGTAGAGATAGAGTCTTGCTATGTTGCCCAGGCTACTCTTGAACTCCTGGCTTCAAGTGATCCTTCTGCCTTGGCGCCTCCCAAAGTGCTAGGATTATAGGGGTGAGCCACTGTACCCAGCCAACTAAGTTTGAAATGAGTCTTAACCACCTCAAACTTTTTTTTTTTTTTCTATTTTTTTTCCTTTTTTTCGTTACTTTTTTTTTTCTTTTTTCTCACCTCAAACTTTTAATGAATGCAATTTCTGTGTTGGGAGTTTAGTGTTTAGTTAAGCCTCACAAAATCTGTTGAGAGCTAAGTAGTAACCCCATTCTTATCAGGCAATCTCTGCTCTATGAGTTTTTTTAGGAACAGCTCGTCAGCTGTGTGAGGGGCGCCTACTTAACCACTTTTCTGAGAGGATTGTTTCAATGGCCTTTTTCACAGCTGGCTTTGGGATCTAAATGTTTAAAATGGAACTAAGCGTGATGGGAGATCTGTGTCTTGCTAGCTCTGCGCTGTCTCAGAGATACTCCTGGGCTGGTGTTGGTGACTGTTAGTAAAGGGTACCCCCAAGGTGCAGTGTGAACACTTAGCAGGAAACCCAGCCCAGCCAAGGTCAGGAAACAGCCTGCCAAGAAATGGTTGTCTAGGCTGACACCTGGATAAGGAGACATTTGCCAAGTAAGAGCTGAGAAATTGTTTTCTTTAAAAGGCACATTTTCTTTATAATATACTAACATTAAAGGCCATAATAATTCTATTTTAGTACATAAAAAGCAGTAAATGATGCAAAGTAAGGCACAGTTATACTTTTCTACATGAAATGCATACTGAGTGATCAATTCTCAGTCTCATTTGATATTTCAGCAGCATTTGACAGTCTTCACTCTGATCCTTACACTCCTGTCTTGATGTGGTACTGCATATACACAGACTATTCCCAAATATGTGTCACCCAGAGCCCTCCCTTGAACTCCACATGGATGGGATGTTTGATTCTCAAACTTGACATATCTCAAAACTCAGTGCTTGACTTCCTGTCCAGACCCAATGTTCCACATCTCCTTAAGTGACCACTCATCCTGTCAGTTGCTCAGCCAAAGACCCAGCACCCTTGACTCCACGCCTGCATCTCCGCGGGGTAATAGAGTAAGCATATAGCAGGTGCTCGGGACTTGTTTCAAGCAGGAGCGACCCATATCAGTAAAATAGAGCTCGTATGGCGTTTGAGATTCTGTGCAAAAGCTGGTAATGCTGTCTTCCATAAAATTATAAAGTTGCCCTTCAGAATGAATGCAAGCTTGGTGTCCCCCGCACCCCACCCAGCCACATACTGTATGAAAGTGTCTAACTCAGTGTTTTTCACTGATTCAGACTGGAGTTCAGAGTTATTTCTTTGTACCATCCCAAATCTGAAAAATTTCAACTTTTCCCCTAGGATCTTTACTTTATATAGTAAATCTCTGCCCCTGGATCTGGCCTGTCGTGTCTGGGATGTGTTCTGTCGAGATGGGGAAGAGTTCCTGTTCCGCACGGCCCTAGGCATCCTGAAGCTGTTCGAGGACATCCTGACCAAGATGGACTTCATCCACATGGCCCAGTTCCTGACCAGGCTGCCTGAGGACTTGCCTGCCGAAGAGCTGTTTGCTTCCATCGCCACAATTCAGATGCAGAGTCGGAACAAGAAGTGGGCTCAGGTAAATGGATCTTTTGTTCTCCTATTCCCAGCACAATAGTATAATTTAGGAAGTATGCTATCTGAAATGCTCTAAAAATATGGCCATCTTTGAAGTAGTCCTTGGGCTGAAAGTGAAGAGAGCTGGGTTTGAGGCTCTGCTGCAGCGTGTCTTGGGCAAATAATTTCCTCTTTGGACTGCTGTCAGCTGGAAGAGTGTGGATAATGAAAACCTTCCCACCTACCTCCAGTGGCATGGAAAGGGTCAGAGGTCTTAGTTTGCCATTGTAGTGCTTTCTGCATGTTAGAAGACATTTTTGTGAATTAAACCACCACTGCCGCCCTTTTTTAAAAAAAATGCCAGAGACAGAAAGCAAAGGGAACTAATTCTCCAAGCCCTCGTGGGCCGTGTCTGTGTCAGGCTCTTGTGTACTTGGTGAAGTAGGATTATCTCCATTTTACTCGGGGAGGCCAAAGAGGGGAGGGCAAGGTCCTGCCGGATCTTCCAGCCTGCTCCAGCCTGGGCCTGGTCTAGATTCCTCAGTTCTGTTCCACACATCCCTCTTAGGTCATGTCCCCTGTGGGACTGGCCAGCATTGTCTGGTTCCAAGTCTTTATCACACTAAAAATTAAAAAACCAACCGTGGTTCTTACTCCTGCATATGCTCAGTTTCAGTACCTGGCCCTCTGGTTTGATCTCTGTGAAGGCTTATACTCTTCAATATGTGCCAGACAATGCCTGTTCTTGGCTTGACTTTTTTATTGTTGGAAGATGTTAAATATATACAAAAACAGAGTAACACAGAATAATGAACCCTCCTGGGTCTATAACTGTGGAAGCACGGCCTGTCTTGTTTCAGCTATATTCTAATTTGCCAGTATTTTAAAGTGAGCCCTAGGCAGTGTGTCATCTGTCAGTGTTATGTCTCTCTAAACCATAAGGGCTCTTTTAACTCCACTACTGTTATCACTCAAAAGTTACAAATCCCTTCCTATTATCAAATATCCAGTTTTCAAATTTCTGGTGGTTTCAAATGTCATAAGTGGCTGTATAGTTTGTTTGATTCACGATCCAGATAAGATCCATGCATTGTGATCGAATGCTATAAGTCTTTTGAAAATATATATGCCACTCCCCCTTCTTACCTTTTATTCCCTCTCTCCCCCTTTATTTGGTGCAGAAAGCATGTCATTTGTCCTATAATATTTCCCACAATATGGATTTTTCTGGTTGTATTCCTGCGGTGGTGTTTAACATGTTCCTCTGTTATTTCCTGTAATTGATAGTTTGATCTAAAGACTTTATCAGGTTTCAACTTTGTTTTTTATTTGTCAAGATTACTTCCTAAGTGATCAGTCTGTCTCTCTTTGATCTTATGTAGCAGCCTATTTATTCTTATAACAGCTTTGTTGATGTTTACATATTGTGGTGTATATACATACCATAAAATTCACTCTTTTAAAGTGTACAGTTCAATGCCTATTTACTTATTAATCAGAGATAGGTTTTCCTCTCTTATCTGTGCCTTCCGACTGTCCTCCCAAGCCTGTCCTTTCCCTCCGTCCTGTCCATTACAGGAGGCTCTGTCTGGTTGGCGGGCTTCTTCCCTACTGGTGTCTCGTGGGAAAAGGCATGGCTACCATAATGTGACCTAGGGTGATACTGTGGAATGTGCCTCTGGTTTTACTAGCTGAAGGGGAGGCACTATTTTGTGTCTAGGGTACTGTGAGTTACATTTCTGAATTATTAAATATGTTCAATTTATAAAAAAGGAATAAAGTACTGATACATGCTCCGACACGGATGAACCTTGCAAATATCATGCTAAGTGAAATAAGCCAGACACAAAAGAGTACATATTGTATGATCCATTTATATGCAGATCCATAACAGGGAAATCTACAGACAGGAAATAGATTAGTGGCTGACTAGTGGGAGTTGGAGGGTGGGATGGGAGGATAGGGGAGGTAGCTGAAAGGGTACAGAGGTGTTTTCTTCAGGTGAAAAAAATGTTATAAAATTGACTTTAGTGATGGTTGCAAATACCAGTGAATTTTGTACTTTAAATGGGGGAGTTATATGGTGTGTAAATTATATTAAAGCTGTTAAAAGTGGCTGGGCACAGTGGCTCACACTTGTAATCCCAGCACTTTGGGAGGCCAAGATGGGAGATCCCTTGAGGCCAGGAGTTTGAGACCAGCCTGGGCAACATAGCAAGATGTCCTTTTTATAAAAAAATGAAATAATTAGCTAAGTGATCCCTTGAGCCCAGGAATTCAAGGTGACAGTGAGCTATGATCAGGCCATTGCACTCCAGCCTGGGTGAGAGAACGAGACTATATCTTAAAAAAAATACACTCAGCTCATGTGTGAGCAGGGCTGGCTATGTAGTTATCAGGGATCCAGTGAGAAGAAAGAGCCTTTCTCTGGTTAATAAATAAAAGGAAATTTGGGGCCCCTTGTTTGAAAAATATTAAAAATGTTAAGACAGTGACAGAAGAATGTTCAGCTAAGGAAGTTCCCTCAGAGTGCAGGGTCATTTACTGCAGAGGTTGCGTGTCTGTAAAGCTGGCCCTGTGTGTGAGGCTGTACTTTGGAATGTTCCCTGATTTAGTGGCTTACAGTGGTTTTCTAAAGTAGCAACTAGGGTCTTTCCTGACAGCCTTTATTCTACACGTAGGACAGCCTTTATTCTACACGTTGACTTTATAACTTTTGCAGTCACTGGCTTGCTGGTCTTCCTTTCCATTTCCTTCACTGATTATTTCCTTGGAGATATGGGCCCATTTATTACTCTTATGTACACACTTCCCACCCACACACATACACACAGATCACCCCCATGTATATGCATACTGCACACCCACATATACACACACAGATCACCCACATGTACATGCATACACTGTACGCCCACACACACTATCATCCCATGCACACACTGCCCACCCACACACACACAGATTATCCCCCTGTATATGGATACTGCACACCCACATATACACACTCAGATCACCCCCCTGTGTTCATGCATACACTGTACACCCACACACACAATCATCCCATGCACATGCACACACTGCCCACCCACACACATACACACAGATCCCCCCTGTGTATATGGATACTGCACACCCACATATACACACACAGATCACCCCCCATGCATATGCATACACTGTACGCCCCCACACACAATCATCCCATGCACATGCACACACTGCCCACCCACACACATACACACAGATCACCCCTGTGTATATGGATACTGCACACCCACATATACACACACAGATCACCCCCCATGCATATGCATACACTGTACGCCCCCACACACAATCATCCCATGCACATGCACACACTGCCCACCCACACACATACACACAGATCCCCCCGTGTACATTCATACACTGTACGCCCACACACACAATCATCCCATGCACATGCACACACTGCCCACCCACACACATACACACAGATCATCCCTGTGTATATGGATACTGCACACCCACATATACACACACAGATCACCCCCATGCACATGCATACACTGTACGCCCACACACACAATCATCCCATGCACATGGACACACTGCCCACTCATACACATATACACAGATCACCCCAGGTACATGCATACACTGTACGCCCACACACACAGATCATCCCATGTACATATACACATTGCATACCCACACATACACTTACAGAGAGAAGGAAGATTAAAACCAGATTTGCCATTTTGCTTCTTGCATTTTGGGGGCTAGGTGAAAACTATTGCTTAAAACTAGGAGTTATTTGAATAGTAGCACATTTTCTAATTAATGAGATAGTGATAGGAGTTAGTACGATGTGGGGGGCATCAGTAACTTTTATACGGTTCCAGTTCTTATGGGAATTATGGTCCATCCACGTTTCTCTTAAATACTGTTTCTAAGATTAAATACTGTTTCTAAGGCACTAGTGAGCTTTTTTAAAACAAGTAGATGTTTATGTTTTGTCCCATTTACTTAGAGATGGAAGAGGATTTTATCTGTTACTCCTTTTCTGTAACTTATTTGAAATCTCCATAAAATGTTTCTGATTTACCCCTTGTAGTTTGTGATTCAAAGTGGCATAGTGCCTGGCTCCAGGCAGATAGCACTGTGCTACCAAATCTTCTTCTTCTTTTTTTTTTTTTGAGATAGGGTCTTTCCCTGTTATGCGGGCTAGAGTGCAGTGGTGTCATCATAGCTCACTGCAATCTCAAACTCCTGGGCTTGAGCAGTCCTCCTGCTTCAGCTTCCTGAGTAGCTGGAACTACAGGTACATGGTCCCAAGGCAAACTAATTTTTCTATTTTTTGTAGAGATGGGATCTTGCTCTTGCTTGGGCTGGTCTCGAACTCCTGGCCTCAAGCAGTCCTCAAGCCTCAGCCTCCCAAAGTGCTAGGATGACAGGCGTGAGCTACTGTGCCCGGCCTTCCTTTGGTTTTGAAATTAGACAGATCTGGGTTTGAATCCTTATGAGGTGTTTGACTTTGAGCAAGATATTTCTGAGGCTTCTCTTCTTCAGGTCCCTTATAATGTGGCATTAACCTTCCTAAGACTGTTGAGTAGATGAAGCAGGCACTGTGCCTGAAATGCTGGTGGAGTGCTCTGCTTGGCATGGAGCAGGCATGCAAGAAATGGAGCCCATTACTGTCACTACTGTTGTTAAGCATTCCCAATGGAGTGGAATGTTTTTAAAAGTAAAGGTGTTGGCCGGGCGCGGTGGCTCACACCTGTAATCCTAGCACTCTGGGAGGCCGAGGCAGACGGATTGCTCGAGGTCAGGAGTTTGAAACCAGCCTGAGCAAGAGCGAGACCCCGTCTCTACTATAAATAGAAAGAAATTAAATGGCCAACTAATATACATAGAAAAAATTAGCCAGGCATGGTGGCGCATGCCTGTAGTCCCAGCTACTCGGGAGGCTGAGGCAGAAGGATTGCTTGAGCCCAGGAGTTTGAGGTTGCTGTGAGCCAGGCTGACGGCACAGCACTCACTCTAGGCTGGGCAACAAAGCAAGACTCTGTCTCAAAATAAAAAAATAAATAAAAGTAAAGGTGTTGACCTGAGCTGTGAGAACACAGAAGAGGGAGCAGACTGGGAAAGCTCAGGAAGGCACATGGAAAGAGCTTTCAGAGGTGGCTGCTCCTGTGGAAGGAGGGACAGGGAGTGGAGCCAGCCCAGGGCTTGTCAGTGTGCTGGCATGGAGGCCTGGACTTTCATGGTGGCCAGTGCTGGAGCTGGAGCCAGACTGTAGAAAGAGACAAGCCCAGCCGGGCACAGTAGCTCACCCCTGTAATCCTGGCACTCTGGGAGGCCAAGGCGGGATGATCGCTCAAGGTCAGGAGTTCGAAACCAACCTGAGCAAGAGCGAGACCCCATCTCCACTAAAAATAGAAAGAAATTAATTGGCCAATTAAAAATATATAGAAAAAATTAGCTGGGCATGCTGGCACATGCCTGTGGTCTCAGTTACTCAGGAGGCTGAGGCAGGAGGATTGCTTGAGCCCAGGAGTTTGAGGTTGCTGTGAGCTAGGCTGACACCACAGCACTCTAGCCTGGGCAACAGAGTGAGACTCTGTCTCAAAAAAAAAAAAATAAATAAATAAAAAGAAAAGAAAGAGACAAGCCCTAGAGCCCTGCTTCTGCGTGGCTCCATGACTGTTTGGAATGGGTGTGGGACACTAGCCCAGAGATGGCCTGGTCAGGTGTGCACTTTGGAAAGGTCACTCTGGATGCTGCAGGGGCAGAGGCGGCCCAGAGAACAGAGAATTGGCAGAAGTGGGGAGCTGGAGAGCCCAGTCTGGAGGCTGCTGCTATTAACTCTGCACTGTTCCTGGCAGGAGCTCCAGGGTCAGGGTGTGTTACAGACTAACCTCAGATGTCTTCCCTGTGAATCCTAGGTACTGACTGCTTTGCAGAAAGACAGCCGGGAAATGGAGAAGGGGAGCCCATCCCTCAGACACTGAGGCTGCAGATGTGACCCACGCTCAGCACTGAAGCAGCGCTCCAGCGGCCCTGTGTTGTTTCAGATGGACACCCTGGCAGCTGAGAAGAACAGGGCCTCATTTCATGTTTGATTCGTAACACTCGAAACACTGGAGGTGGCCTTAAAACAAACAAACAAACAAACAAACAGAAAAAACTTCTAAAGAATAAACCAAGGCTTAGCCTTAAGAAGCTCAGTGGAACAATGCCCTGGTGTTTGCCATGGCCAAGCACTGCGTTTTCTGCATGGTTTAACTATATGGCAGTGGCTAACTTCCTCCCCTCCTTTATTTCAGCAAAAGTTAATTAAATTGTAATGCTTTTATGTCAACTACTGGAAAATACATTACAATCTTTCTTAACCAAGATGCATGAGAAATGTTATTTGGGAGACCTCAGAGATGTTTTTGGCTCATATTTACATATTTTAGATATGAAAGGGATTGCTGATTGAGTTATTGAGATAATCTTTCCAGAGCTAGAGGTCATGTTGTTAAAACCCACCTACCAAAGATAGCATTAAAGAAAAATGGGCTCTCTGAGGATAGGCATTGAGTGCTCATGGGCTCCCTGGGAATCAACCCAACCTGCAGTTTGTCATTTTACCATGTTGCCTTGACAAAATTACAGCATGAAGGCCACAAGTACACACTTAGGTTCCAGTGGGAACCTGCTGTCTGAAAGATCATTCCCTGCATCTGCTGAGCAAGGGTAGAGAGTTCGAGCAGGCAGAGTGATTTGCAAAGGCCTGTGGCAATAGAGTCAGGTTTAAGAGTTGATGGAAAACAGCATGGAAACAGCCCCCTTTTAAGTAAAAGGGTGGGGAAAGAGAATGCTGAGACTTGCTCCTCTTCCACCCTACCTGTTTTTATGGAGGTCGCAGTACAGTGGTGCAGCCTGTGGAAGCAGCACGGCACGGGAAGGTTGTTCCCTTGCTCTAACAGAATGTTCTTCTTTGCCTTTGTCCCCTGGACAGGTGGATCAGTCCTAAGTGCCAGTGAGTCCCTCCTCATGCATTTGGCTTTAGAATGTGCTTCCTAAGTCATTGTAGGGATGGAGCAGTGAGCAGCACACATCTAACAGCCCAGACAGTCTTGTCACAATGCTCAATAGCTGGACCCTCAGCACTTCCCCATTTGAGCTGATTTTCCCAAGGCCATTGGCAAACTTTATGTTCTAGCTTTTCCTTGACTAATTTTGAGAGCTTTGTATAAGAACTTAGGATATCCAAATTCACAGAAATGAACAGTTTTTACATAGAGTAGCCTAAATGACAGGCCAGTATCTGTGGAGGCAGGTTCCTACACTGTAACCCATTGGTCTTTGGCAGTGCTCGGCAGACCAGGTTCACAGGCACGGTTAGCTGTGCACGAGGGTCTCGGTGTGGTCTGCACTGTAAGGCCCTTCTCAGCCATACTTCCCACCCCCAGGGAGTACCCCCATGGTTGAACTTGTTTCGGATTTTGAGGACTCTCTGGCTCTGTCAGTATAGCATGCAACAGAAGATTGGGCTGGGGGCTGTATAGTGGGACTAGGCTAATAGTGGCATTATTTTTCTAAGTTTTATATGTCTGCCATACCGCTAATGATCCTTCTAGGTACAATAGCAAGTTGCCAAGCCAGTGGTCATTCCCATGCCTTCCATCCCAACTCTGTGCCATGTGCCATTTGTCCTGGAATCTACTTTCTTCCCCTGTGTTCTTAACTGAATCTCCAGGGAGGTTGCAGAGCATCATGGATACCACTTTCTGCCTCAGCCTTTAAATGCTGACTTGCCTCCCCTCTTGGAGGAGGCATTCTATCTTCACTGGAGGTCTTGACAGCCTCCAGACCTAGCCATTTTCTGACATCAAGATGCTGAATGTAACCCAGACTGAGCCCTGCACACTGTCGTTCCTCTCAGATGTACTTATTTTTGTTCCATGGTATGGGCGTTCTGTTCTTTAGAGATGTATATATTTTCTTACTGCACACAAAGACGTTCCTTAAGTAGTACAGAAAGTGATGCAGCGGGGCTTTGTGCGGCTTGTTCCGAACGCAGCTGTGAAACTTCATGTGTATTCGAAACTCAGCTCTTGACGTTTCTCATCAGGCAGTTCGACATAAAGCTCTTTGGATAGCACCACGTATGCATTGAGTCCTTAAACAGGATTCTACGCCAATCTGGAACACTTACCATATCTGGAGTTCTTGCTAGTTCAGTACGTGCTCTTCAGAGGCCAGAAAATTCCGAGTCCCCATCCAGGCTCACTTAGTCCCTTTCTACAGAGGATGCTGTGAGGTGTGGAGGAGTCTGTCTGTGTCATTGTTCAGGTAAACAGGGAACAGACGCTGCCATGCTGCCCCTTGGGAAGTCTGCACACTCCACTTCACGTGCCCTTGTCTTTTGGAATCTGAGACTTCAGGTCCAGGACATTTTGCAGCTTGCGTGCTAGAGTGAGCACTAGATCTCCCCCCAGTCACTGAGATCTTATTTAGAAACACTGTTCATTCACAAGGTACTTTTTTTTTTCACAAGGTACTTTTTAACTGTTCAGTTTTCAACTATTTTAAATAGTTTGCTGAAAACTTCTGATAACACTTGCTACATATCATGTTTTAATTGCTTGTACAGTTAACCTTTAATTTTATTTAGTGGAGTGTATCAAATAGGACTTTTTTGAATTGTAAATATGTGGTTTTATTAAATAAAAGTCATGTAAAATTGTTACTTATGTTTACTGTAGTTTGATTTAAAGTTGGAATTCTCACTTGGAAGCATGGCAAAAATTTGATTTTGAGCATTTAGCTGTTTGAATATTTAGAAATCCCTTTATTAGGCCTGTTAAACAAAAAGATGGTGCAGTTATGGTAGTTTATAGTCCAGGGATTCAAGAGTTGAGTGCTCCCCTTTCAGACTAGAGCGAAGCCCCAGCCTTGCCACATCACCATGTCTGCCACGCCTGCCACTCACACTCTTGAGCCTGCCACACCCCTCCTAGCCTGCCCTGTGCCAGTTACTGCACCAAGGGCTCTTCACATTCCTTTAGGAACCTTCTCTGAAGCCCGTGAACCAGGTACTGACGGCTCTGTCTCCCAGCAGTCAGCAGGGTGACATGGGCTCATCCCTGTGAGGTACAGGTCAGTAATGCTGCCTCACAAGGCTGGTAGGGAGGGTGGAGGATCATGAGGTCATTTAGATCCAGGCAGAGCGAGTGCTCATGGGTGTGGGTGGTGGTCGTCCCTGCACACTCAGCCAGGAGGTTCAGACAGGAGAGCATGTCCGAATCCCAGCTGAAGGGTGCAGAGCCCTTGGGGTGGCTTTCTCTCTTGTCCCCTTGTCCACCAGGAGAATATTTCCTTTTCTTCCAGGACTCTCACCTGAGCAGAGGTAGCTGCTCCTCTGTCGCCTCCAGGCCTCTCAGAGTCCTGACTGTGCCAGGGAACTTTCTATTCTGCCCCAGTCACGAGCTTTCCTGCCCTCTCCCTGACGGGACAGGTATTCTCACTCCTGTGCTGGGCCCCAGCAAGATGTTCAGAAACAGTACCTGCCTTCCCTCTTGGGGCACTGTTACTTATTTCTTCTCTTTTCCCGCAGGCTGTAGGGTAAGAGGACAGGCTACAGGGGTTCAAGTATCCTGGGAAATAAGGCTTTGGCAGTTAGTCCTGGGAGAGACAGCCATGGTGTGGTCCTGCCGAGGGAAGGAGTGTTATTCCAGAGCCAGTGGGCTGCAAGGATGGCAGGTGATGACAAGCCCAGAGCGGGATATGAGCTAGATAGTGCTCTGGGTCTCTAAGAGATATCTGGGCACTTTAAGTCATGGCCAAGTCCCTGGGTAGGCAGGCAAGGGCATGAATAACATCAGCATGTATTTGAGTACATGTTTGGCACCATGCAAAGCAGCCCCACTGATTTCCCTGGGAATTCCACAAGTTCCTCCACATCTTAACATGGTCCTATCTGAGGACTGGCCCTCCACCCTGAGGCTTCCCTTTGCTGGTCAGGCCTTTCCCCGTATCCACTTGGTGAGTAACAACTCATCTCAAGGTCCACCTGGGTGTCCCCACACTGTGTTGGTGCAGGGTTCCATTAATGCTTTGTGCCTTCCTGGTACAGTCCACACCTCAGGTGGTCTTGAACTCTCAATCTCACTTCTCCAATCTAGAACACTAAGGGAACCAGTCTCGACTCTTTCTGTGTTTGCATATACAAGGCATCTATATCATCTCTTGGGCAAACATTCCACAGATTCTGCCACCACTCCTTATGCCTGTCCCATGGAGCCACTGTCCACTTAGCTCCAACTCCTAGGAGGTGTGGGTCCTGCACACAGGAGGTGCTCGGATGAAGTGAATCCAGGCCTCACCCCAGCCCCTGCCCCTGGAGTTGTAGCCAGACCTAGAGGAGCTCTCAGAGGCCCCAGAGCAAACACATCCTCCCAAGAGGGCATTTCTGAGTGAGGGCTTGAGGGGTCACCAGGTCCGAGTCTGAACCCTAGGACTGCCACTAACTTGCTGTAGGAGCCTAAGCAAATCACTACTCTGTGTCACATCTTTGAAATGGGGACAATAAGTGTCTCTTCCACGGAGCTACTGTGGAGACTAAATGAGATGATTGGTGGACAGCACGCAGCCCAGCACCTGGCGTGGCCGAGCAGCAAGCCAGCCCACGTGGGGTTCTGAGCAACGGGAATGGCCCTCTCCCTAAACATTAAAATGAGTTACTCATGGACTTGAAAGCATCACTGTGGTCTCCAGAGTCTCACAAAGTTTGTCTTAAACATTGTTCCTTCAGCTTCTTGCTCCTGCTCTGGAGCTCCTGGTAGAATCTGCTCTCATGAAAAATACACCCAAGTTTAAGGTGCATTTTGGCTAGAGGTTAAGAACAGGGCCCTGGAGTTAAATCTTGTAGCCAACCATTGCCATTTATGAGCTCTGAGACCTTTGAGAATTTTCTTTTCTTTTTTTTTTTTTTTACATACATATATACACTTGTAAGAGAATTTTCTTGAATTCTCTAAACCTCATTTTGCTTTTCTATAACCAAAGGTTAAAAAGGGCACCCAGCACCTATCCACTGGCCTGTGAAGAATAAACAAAAATAAGATGCTGAATAATTGTATCATTTAAGAAACCCAGAAACATTTCTAGGTTGCTAGACTCATGCCCTTGACATGTGAATGTTCAGTTTCTCACATTGTTGAACTTAGAAATTAAAAAAAAAGCACAAAGTAAATATTTCTCAATTTTACTCTCCAGAGAAGATACACTGTTTTCATATTCTGATTTTTTTCCTATAAATAAATTGTTCCCATTTTACAAATGAGTACACTGAGGCTTAGAAAGAAAGATGAAGTGGTTTGTCCCAGTTCACAGTCAGAAGAGAGCTGAACGCAGCTCTGGCTGATGCCAACGTCTTAGCAGTAGGCTGTGTCTTCTCCCAGAGTCATCTTTATTCACCCTCCTTTGGCTGAAATGTTAGAAGACTTCATCAATTGAAAAATTAGGGTGTAATTTTATTCATCAAAATATGTACACATTTAATCATTGATTTAAAGAAAAACTAGCTGACCCTGTGAAAGGAGTATTACATTGGAAGTGGAAGACATGTACATGTAGTTCGTGCAGGGCTGACATGGTCCCTACAGTGCTCTCCATAACATTTGTGGGATTCTTCACTCTGGTATTAAGACTGCCTGAAAGTTTGAAACATGAAAAGCGCTGGATTGGAGTGCATTTACTCTGGTATTATTTTATGGACAGGTACCCCATATCAATGTCAAAAATGTAAATTAATAGCTGCCAACAAACTCATAAAAAAAAGAAAGCATAATTTCCACTTACATAATTTTAAAATCTCAAATGTGGTAAGTCACTAAAAATGATTTTCACTTACCAATGAAAAAGTTTCCTTTTCAGATGCCTTGGGCTCTGTCCAGGAGGTGCTTGATTTGCTCCTGCTCTTCTGCTAAGAAACAAAAACCCTCCTGTAACACTAATGGAGACATTTTCAATGCACATCAACTTTTCTAAAAAAGGTCTAATTTCCTGTAACATCTCATTCAACATGTATTCAGTGTTAACATTTTCAGGGTCCTGTACTTTCTGACGAGGAGATGAAAAGGCAGCCTTTGCTTTTAGTGCTCATAAATCATCTTAGTCTTAGAGGTTTCCAGTTCAGCTGCTGGTATCTCTGGGGTTGACCCCTGCTGGATTTAACAGCGCTGTCCACCTGTGGTGTTCTCTGAATTTGACTAAAGCCCTCCTTCCTGACATTTCCCCTAATTGGTTAAACTTTTTGAGAGATCCTCTTTCTGCCTATAATTATTTTTGAATCCGACATAGGACTTAGTGCCTGACATGTAACAGGCATTCAAGTAACATTTATTTTCAGAAAATGAATGAGATTGGCACTATATTAATCCAACAAGTTTACTGAGTACCATTTATGTGCCAGGCACTGTGCTGGCTACTAAGGAGGATTACGAACCAACAGTCTTTGCCGTCCAGGGACTTTGTCTCACTAGGGTACAGATAACTAATGCAGATAATGGTCCCTACGCAGTCGATTAAAGGTTGGATGGGGCTGAACACAAGTTTCTGTGGGGGCACAAAAGGGAGCACTTCAATAAGACTTTGGGGTTAGATAATGCTTTAGGGTCTGTGGAGTTCTTCCTCCAAAGTAATGTATCTTAAGAAACAATTTGTGAATGTGTTGCTATTTCATGATTTAGTGCTCTCCTATAATTAGAACTGTGGTAGGAGATAATCAACAGCAACTTGACTTCTAATTAATCATAACATCCTTAGTGTAAGGTACTATAATTTGAGAGAACATTGGTAACTTACTATACAATCATTTACTTAGGATAGATTTGCTCTGAGAGTTCTGCTTGTTACTGAGTTCAAGGCTGGTGAGAAGTGTTTGGTTGGATGTAGGTAATTGCTGATGGGTAAAAATCAGCTGAAAATACCTGTTCTTCCCGCAGTGAACCATAGAGATTAAGGATCCCATTGTAACAAGAGCTGCTTGCTGGTCAAGACACCGAGTATCATTGCCAAGTTCACTTTGAAGCCTCCCCAGCCACAGAAGAATCCAGTGGGCCTGTTCTGCTTCTAGTTTTTGATACAAAGAAAACCAAGTTCTATTTGCCAGTGATTTATTGCTTCACTTGATGAACAGGGTGGAGGAAAGACTAAAACTGTGGAGAACAAGGAAGAGAATGGAAGCCAGAATTCTGTCAAAGCTTTTTCCTTTACTATTCTCATTATTACATTTGTATAGTTTGATATAAAGAAATATATTTAAGCCATGAGAGTTAGAAAAGGAATTTTATTCAACTTTCATTGGCTTCAAAGGGACCATACTTTTGAAAAGAAAATCATGTCATCAAAAGATTCTCACAGCCAATGGAGTCACCTGCCCACCTGCCCAGAGTGGGGTTTCTACCATTCTTTAGAGGTATCTAGCACCAAAAATATATCATCTTTCTGTTGATCTACTTAAGTTTAGGAGTGGGAGAATACTTTGAATCCCAAATCTGCACATCTCTTTTTTTTTTTTTTTTGAGACAGAGTCTCACTTTGTTGCCCAGGCTAGAGTGAGTGCCGTGGAGTCAGCCTAGCTCACAGCAACCTCAACCTCCTGGGCTCAAGCGATCCTACTGCCTCAGCCTCCCGAGTAGCTGGGACTACAGGCATGCGCCACCATGCCCGGCTAATTTTTTGTATATATATTTTTAGTTGGTCAATTAATTTCTTTCTACTTTTGGTAGAGACGGGGTCTCGCTCAGGCTGGTTTCGAACTCCTGACCTTGAGCAATCCGCCCATCTCGGCCTCCCAAAGTGCTAGGATTACAGGCGTGAGCCACCGCGCCCGGCCCCTGCACATCTCAAAATTCAACCTAAGAAATGAAACCAAGCCCCTAGCTCCAAGGTTATCACTGATACTGCATTAAGGAAATAGACCTGTCAATTATTTTTTACAGTAACACAAGATATTGCAGTTTAATATTTGATGCAAAGTGAACTCTTATGCATAATAAGGGTCCTGTTGTTGAGATCCAAAAATATCCAGTTAAAACAGAAGGCTATGTCCTGTTGCCAATAGCCACAATTCCAAAGATTTTGCACCTGGAAAAACAGTACAATTGTCATCTTGTTTTCACTGGAAAGCAAAATTTCATTTTTGGGGGTACAAATCAATGCATTTCTTCAGAAGATCCAAGAAGACATTTAATAAGAATTGAAGACTGTCACTGAGACAGAAACAAATATTAATGGTCAGTAGCCTGAGCTTCCTTTCATTGAAATGAAAGATGAAGGAACATTAGTTCCTTTTCCTGTTTATCATTATCCCAGAAGCCAGTGCTAGTTACATATAAAACAATTTCAGCTAAGAGAATTAGTGTGCTTCTAATTGAGACAGTAATTCAGGTCTACACAGTTTAATAAATCCAAAGAGAGTTTAATAATTATCTTAATGGACAAGAATATTTTTGTACCCTGCCCAAATGTACCCCTTCTCCTCCCCACCCTCCTTGAACTTTTAAATCCTCCTAACATATGGAAAAGGAACAGTACTCCTTAGTTCTGTCGTTGAAATTACAGAATTGCTCAGATATAAAAAGACTTTCCACAGCTTTTCATGAGAAGTCAGTTACATGAAATCAACCCTGTTGTTTGTTTCTCTGGACCTATTTAGCTTAATCCCATATAAAACTAACTGCTGACCCAATTTTGTGCTCAGCACTCATTTGGAAGCTGAACAATTATGAGATAAATATAAAATATATTTCTATCCCAAATACCACAGGCCTAATAAAGAATGGCACGAAATGGAAAATAAAAGTTAAAGAAGGACATATGCCAAGAGTGAAAATGTTTTGCTGACTCTTCACATCAATTGTATCAAGAGGGAAGAAAGGCTTTGGCTTCCCTTATCTTCTGCCTCAGGCCTCTGCAGGACAAAGTAAGCCCAGCATGATGGCGCTTCAGGGATTCCAGGCGCTGCTTGAGCAGTTCCGTCTTTTCCACCTTTTCTTCCAAGTCCCGAAGGAGTGATTCCTTGCCCAGAAGCCCACACTTCTGATCCAGCTTGATGTTGTCAACCCGCAGGCTGTCTCGGGCTTGCTTCGTCTTGGTCAAGATGTCTCTTCCTAGGGCTACCTGAGCCTCAATTTCCAAAAGCTGTTCCTTTTTGCGTGCATTCTCCATATCCATAAAGTGCAGCTTCTCCTTCACATGGGTTATTATTTGCACATTGTTGGTCACTTTGTTGCGCAGTTTTAAAAGTTCCTCATTTCGTTCCTCGACTTTCTCATTTAAGGTCTGGTTCTCAATCTTAAGCTGTTCACAATCAATGAGGAGCAGACCCTCTGTCAAGTCCTCCTGGGCCCTCATCCTGGTTTCAAAGTGCACCAGGCTTTGCTTCAGTTGCACGTTCTCCAGCCGTACAGCGCTCATCTCCTTCATCTTTTTATCCTCCAACGCCTGGATCGCCTCCACCTCCCGCAGAGCGGCCTGGCGCCCGCCCCGCATCCGACAGCTGCCCATGGCCTGCATGACCACCTGCTTCTTGAGTGCCTGGAAGCCTCGCCACTCCTTCTCCACCCTGGCGATCTTATCCTGGCCCTGCTTCTTCAGCTGGGCCAGCTCCTGGTGGTACCATTGTAGGTCGTCTGCCTGTTGCTTCTTCAGCTCCTCCAGCATGGCCAGATAGCGTATGTACACCTGCTCCTTCTCGGGGGCCTCGGTCTCCGCGCCCTTCTCGGGCACCTCTGCGGCTTCCAGGCCCTTCTTCTTGCGCAGCGCCTCGCAGATCTTGTGCTGCAGGCACACGTTGTAGCGCTGGCAGCGGTTCCGTTCCACCAGCAGGGAGCGGTACTGCTCCAGGAGCTCGCTGCGCAGCTGCTGCTCCTGCAGCTTCTGGATCTCCTCGGACCACTCGTAGTCCTCACTGTCTCTGTACGCCGCCTCCTTCCCGCGTTTCGCCGCGCGGCCTTCCCCACCCTTCCCCTCTCTGTCCTCACTCTCTTCCTCCTCCTCCTCCTCCTCCTCCTCTCCCTCCTCCTCCTGCGTCTCTTCCTCGGCCTCCTCCCGGGCTGGAGTAGCCTCTTCCTCGCCGGTCGTGGTCGGCAGCAGGGAGGCCTGGGACCCGGCTTCCTTCTTCCCGCCCGCCGCCGCCTCCTCCCCGTCCCCACTCTTCTCTTCCTCCTCCGCCTCGTCCTCTTTCTCCGGTTCCTCGGGCACGGCTTCGGATCCCGGCTTGGCTGGCTCCTCCGCCGCGGCCTCGGGCTTGGCCGGCCACCCCGGCTCTCCAGGCCCCTCCCTGCCCGCAGCCTCGGTGGCCGCCCGCCCTGCCGGGGTCTCGGCCTGCTCGTCCGCGGCGGCGCCTCCCCGCGAAGCCTCTACCTCCTTCTCCGCCTCTGCCTCCGCTTGGGGCTCCGGCTCGGGCTCGGGCTCGCCGGGGGCCTGGAGGCCAGATTTGGTCTTGATCTCGGAAGACCGCGAGGCCAGGCTTTCCGCATCTTCGTCTTCCCCCTCCGGGTCCCTAGTGCGCTCCGAGGGGCTGTCCATCTCCCACCGCCAGGGCAGCGGACCCCGGCTGCAGGCTGTTAGGTTTCCCGGGGCAACCAAGGGCGCACGCGGTGTGCCCGGCGATTGGCCAGGCCTTAGGCCGATGCCCTGCCCCCAACCCCCGCCCCCTGGCCACAGCTGACCAATAGGAGGCCGCTAGCGGGCGACGGGCGGGATTGATTGGAAGCAAGCGAGGCTCTCGCCGCGAGAGGCGTGGCGCGCCAGCCAGACTTCCTGCCCGCCCATTTCCCACAGCCAGGACTGGGGCGGGGCGTCCGGATGCTCTGGGAAAGGCAGCGGCGGCCGGCGCGGGGGCGCGCAGGCGCAGAGTGGCGGGCCGGGCGTCCGCGCGCGGCGCCTGCGCGATGCGGCGGGGCGACGGCGGCTGCGGCGGCGGCGGCGGCGGCGGCCGGCCGGGCCGGATGGCGCCTGCGTGCTGAGGCGGGACGCGGCCGGCTGGCTGGCTCCGGCGCGCCTGGCGGGGCCGCAGTGGCGGCGGCGCGGCGGCGGCGGCGGTGCTCGTGTGCGGCGCGGCGGGCCCTGCGGGGGGGGCGGGGCGCTGACGGCCGGGGGCGCGGCGGCGGCGGGCCGGGCTGCGGGCGGCGAGCGGGGGAAGATGGCGGAGCTCGGTAAGAAGTACTGCGTGTACTGCCTGGCCGAGGTGAGCCCGCTGCGCTTCCGCTGCACCGAGTGCCAGGACATCGAGCTGTGCCCCGAGTGCTTCTCGGCCGGCGCCGAGATCGGCCACCACCGCCGCTACCACGGCTACCAGCTGGTGGACGGCGGGCGCTTCACGCTCTGGGGGCCCGAGGCCGAGGGCGGCTGGACCAGCCGCGAGGAGCAGCTGCTGCTGGACGCCATCGAGCAGTTCGGCTTCGGAAACTGGGTGAGCGGCGACGCGGACGGGACCGGGCCCGGCAGACCGCCCGTGCCCTGGGACGCGGAGGCAAGCTCCGTCCCCTCGCTTAATAAAGTACATAAGCAGCACTTGACTTGCTCGTTCGACCCACGCCCCAGAAGGCCCCAGAGGCAGGCAGGGCCTTCCCAATTTATAGTCGGAACCCACGCTCAGAGAGGTTCAGTGAGGCGAGCAAAGCGGGGGTGTGAACTGTGCCATCTGACAGCAGAGCCCTTTCCCTAACCTTGAGGAACACCTTCCATAGGTGTGACCCGAGTGCAGACTTTGGGCAGGACCCGGTGTCTCACCTGAGTTCGTGGACACAGGCAGGCCAACAGACTTCCTTGAAAGCTGTGGGAGCACCGAGGAAAGAGTCGGTTTTGCCCGGAGCACAGTGGTGATGAAGGCCGGCCAGCCTCACAGTCACCCTGCGGCTTGGCTCACGGTCTCTGGGGCACTTATTTTGTGCTGGGGACCTATTTGCCTTCTGTGGTTGTCTGCGTGTGCCCTGTGTGGTCCGCCAGTGCACACACGTTTTTTGTGGGTAGCTCCTGTGCCTTGTTTATCCTTGGGTCCCCACAACACCCAGGAAGACATTTTATAGTGAGTGGTCAGTAAATAATGAACAAAAGAGCCCGGTCTAGGAGGCATTGGTCCTGGGTCTTGCTCTCTTTATCTTCAGAAGGTTTCAGTAGATATGTCTGTCTGTGAGAGGAAGGGTGAGAGCTGGACAGGCTTCATTACGGTAGCAAGATAGTGTGCTAGGCTCTGTCCTTGACAGATAAACTTGGTTATTCTCTAGGTGGTCTCTTAGGAGCTTTCTTCCATTCTGGGAGAGGAAGTTTTCATCCCTATGAGAAAGGAAAAATCTCTAGCTGTATTCCCACTTGTAACCACCAAGGATATGTAGCCATCTTCAGGCATTCTTTATTTTTTAAAATTTTATTATTTTTTTTTTTAAGAGACAGGGTCTCTGTCACCCAGGCAGGCTGTGATGCAGTGGTGCAATCATAGTTTACTGCAACCTGTAACAGAGCTTGAACTTGAATGATCCTTCTGCCTCAGCCTCCTGTGTAGCTGGGTCTATAGATGACCACACCTGGCTAATTTAAAAAATATTTTTTGTAGAAATGGGTCTCAATGTGTTGTCCAGGGTGGTCTTGAACTCCTGGCCTCAAATGATTCTGCCCCCTCAGCTTTGAAAGGTGCCAGGATTACAGGTGTGAGCCACTGCACCTGGCCCCTCTTCAGGCATTCTAAGAAGTAGGGAAGTGAGGGCACAACCCCAGTGCCCTAACCTCGCCCGCCTCTCCCTTCTTCTCTGAGCCAGTGCTCCATCCTGCTGCCAGCTCCTGCACTACTTCTCCTTTTTCCCAAATCTGTGCTGCTTTTGTTTTCTTTCCTAAAGTGAGCCAGTCTTTAGGGACCATTCCACATCCCCATTCTGAAGCCCTGGAATCTTATTTCTCCCACACCTTGGAGAAGATGCTGCTTTGCAGATCCTTCCCTAGTTGCTGCCCACATTCTGATCACCCTCCAAAAACTCCATTCCACTGTGTCCTGCGATGCTATTTATTGATGCACATTGAGTATCTGTTCTTTGCAGATTCTATGATGGTGAAAGGACTTTGAAGGAAAGAATAGTTTTTCTCCTTGCCCTCAGGGAGCTTAAAGTGCTGTGTTCACTTGGTCCTGGGCCCAGAGTTCTTCCCTAGGCTCCAGCCATCAGTGTCAGACCCCCTTACCTGATCTCCTGGCTCTGTGTGACCCAGACATCATACTATCTCACTCAGGACTTGGGCGGCAGACAGAGACTAGACCATATCTAGCTCATCAAAATATGTCCAGAACTAACCACTTGTGACCTCATTCCAGGCTGATATTTACAACTTGACCACACCTGGAGCCTCCTGACTGTTCTCCCTGTTTCGTTCTTACTCCCACTGTCCATTTCACACACCGTCATCAGAGTCATTTTTGAAAGCATAAGTTTCATCACATCAGCTTTCAGTGGCTTCCAGGCCCCTTGGTTAAACATTGCAGCCTATGGCCCTTACACTGTTGATCAATGAGGTCTCATCTGTTACCTCCCATGACCATGTTTTATTTCGTTTGCTTGGAGTGCCCTCTCCCCAAATCATGGTTCAGGCCTGATCTGCTTAGACATCAGTGCCTCAGAGAGCCCTTCCCTTCCCCACATCAGCACTTATCTCTGCCATAGCAGCGACCAGGAGCTGATGTGGTCAGGAGCATTGCAGAGTGCCAGGCGCTGCGCTGAGCTCTTTGTGCATATCTCGTGAGAGCTCTCCTATGGCCCAAGGCAGTGGCTTTGGATGGAATACTTTGACTCAAACCCTGTACTCCTAACTACACTGTCTACTCTGTCCCCGCCTACAGCACTGGGGAAATACACAAAACACAAGACCCAGGGAACTAAAACACTTACAGTATATTAGAAGAAACATCAGGCTGGAAGTAGGGAGGCCTCTTTTCTAAAATAATACTTTTCAAACTTTAATGTGCACACATTGCCTGAGGAACTTGTGAGAATGCAGATTCTGACCCAAAGCAGCCAACATGTCTCTTAGCTGTTAGAAGACAATGCCAGCAGAGGAGGGGCACTGGGCTTGGGTGCCATAGCAGGGGGCCCAGCCTGGCTGCCGTCAGGGCCTTCTCCCTGCTGAACCTGAGCAGGGTTCAGGGCAAAGCCTGAGCTTCTGCTCTGCTAGCCAGGCTCAAGGGACGCTCCTGTTGCTGGCCTGCAGACCACGTGAGTGGTGAGGCTTTGTTATTTCTTTAGCTGTGCTGTTTCGGGCCAGTTGCTTTACCCCTCTGGACTTCATTTTTCTCCATCCGAGGCTTTTCTGTGGCTCTGAGATGTGTGGTCCTCTTCTGATTGTGTACCTAGATACGTGTGCAGACCTAGTGTGTCCCACTTACGAAGTAGTTAGCCTGTGTCAGTTTGGGGCCAGGTTATTCCATACACATCTCGTGGGTCTTCTCACCATCCTGTGGGGTTCCTAGTTTACAGTTGAAGAACAGCAACTCTAAGAATCCAAGCAACCTGTTCAGAATTCCGTGACAGAGCCAGGGTTGAATGCAGGCCTGTCTCATTCCAAAGACTGGGCCTCAACCCCTCCGTGTAAGAGCATTAAGTGATGTGGGTCAGAGGCTGGGAGCTTATTGGTGTTGCTAGAGGTGTGGAGAGGCTGGCAGGGCCTGCCCTGATTCTGTGGAGATTAGTGTGGGGGAGGTGTGTGGGGTAAGGGTGGGCCCAGGTTTCATGGGCTGGGGTGTTGAGTGTGGATAAGGCAGAGTGGGGATTGGGGACAGTCATGCAAAGGAAGATGAGACCTATTCAATTCCAACTTCAGATGGCAAATGATGACCTGGGGGTTGTACTGTACATGTGGAATTCATGGTGGGAGCAGGCCAAGGGGCAGAGGGTCATTGCTGATGTCTGGTGGCGTTGTGTTTACACTCTTCATCAGGGCCACGGTGTGGGGCCCAAAGGTTGTAGCTGTAGCTGAGGAGTGTTAACATTGAAGCTGAGGAAGGTTTGGGGACCAGCATACTGCCAGTGTCTGATGCAGTGTGCTTATGTGTTTGTTTGGTAGCAAGTGGCAGAGAAGGACAACCGAAGGGACCTTGACTATGATGGGGAAGAGTTGGCCAGCAGATGGTGACCCAGAGTCAGATCAGCAGAGGAGTCTCTAGACGGCTAGTTTGTGGTGGGTTCCATGTGGGATTTGAGAGTTGGAAGACAGAGACCCAGCTGGAACCATGGACACAAACATAAACACAAAAGTACAATATTTTAAGATAGTTTGAAACTGGTACAAGAGCCATAGATTCATTGATCAGTTGCCAAAGAGTCGGACTGTCCCTGAGGACGCAGGATGAGGGAGACCAGAGCTCCTCTGCAGGTGGCCGTCAGGACTTTAAGGGAAGCGAGGCTCAGGCTGGCTCTTGAGGTTCTGAATTGAGCAAGTGCATGAAGTTCTCTGTCCGCCTCGGGGGCCTGTGTGCCTGTGCTCAGGCTGTGTACTGGGGGCAGGTGGGATGTCATGAATAGGGTTGTGCCTTTTTAGATGATAGTAGGTACTCAGAAGGCTGGGTAATACCAGATATGTAGGCAATCATTGCATCGTGTATGCATGCACTCATTCACTCACTCATTCACTCACTCAGCTAGCACTGACTCAGGGCCTCTGCTGATAATAGGCTGGAGTAAGATGGCTGCCTCACCTGGCAGGTGCTATGTGGGCAAGTGGAAGTTGGGATGTCCTGTGGAGGAAGGACAGGAGACACTGTCCAGGTAGAAAGAGTGTGGAGGAAGGAGAGGTCTTGCATTCTAGGAATCTGTTATCTTCCAGAGCCTGGAGCCAGCTGTACTGGAGTGGAGGACTGGAGTTGGGGATACCCCCAGTGCGGTTGTCAAGGAAACTCACGTGGAGTCACATTTCTAAAACCTTGAGCACCAGGCATGAGGGCATAACTGGGGTTTTGAAGCTGGCTTAGACTCTGTGTTAGCTAAGCACCTGCTTGCTGGGTGCCAGGCCCTGAGTGGGCACTTTGACATACATTCTCTCACTGTCCCCTGCCCACAGCCCTGAAGCAGAGGCTCCCCCTTGTTACAAGTGAGGAAGCAACTGTGGGTGATGCAGGAACGGGGCCAAGTCTTCTGACTCCATGCCCAGAACCGTCTGTGTGAGTGGTTCTCCTGGGGAGGCCCAGGGACCACCCGGGCCTGATTGCATATCTGAGGGTGTGCTCTGGGGATCTGACGTGTACCAAGAATCCCAGGGAGTGAGGCATGTTTGGGAACTGGGAGAAATGTTCCCATCCTTCCCACCAGGGCAGAGGCTGTCGTGTGTGTTTGTTGGACTGGGTAGCCCCAGCCTTGAACATCCTGGCAGGGTTTGTAGGACTTGCTGTTAGTGATGGGCAGGATGAGGGGAGCCTGGGTGGGAAAGCAGCGGGTTCCCAGGTGGCAGCGCAGCACGCATCCATTGGGGACACCCACATCAGGACACTAGGCAGGGCTCCCGGAAGGGCTGGATCAGCTCAAGTTGCTTGGCGACATTCTGAGTAGGCAGGTGGGTGGCGCCTGAGAATTCACATTTCTAGCAATTTCCTAGGTAATGCTGATTCTGCTGGCCGGGGACCCTGCTTTAAGGACTACTGAAGTAGAATAGTAAGACATGTCACTTTAAAGTTTTTGAAATTATTTTTAAAAATTTATTCATTTTTATTATGGTAAAACATACATAATGTAAAGTTTACCATTTTAACCTTTTTTAAGTGTACAGTTTGGGGGCAGTAAGTATATTCACGTTGTATAGCTATCATAACCATGCATCTCTAGAACTTTCTCATCTTCCCAAACTGGAACGCTGTCCCCATTAAGCACTAATGCCCCAGGCCCTGACACCCACCATTCCACTCCTATCTCTGTGAATTTGACATCTCTAGGGACCTCTCATAAGTGGATTCCTATAGGATTTGCTTTAGTCACCTTGAGTGCTGATGACAACTTTGCAAGCTGATGAGGTCTCCAGGTGAGACAGGAGGATGGGGACCCAGAGCAGAGGCTTATGGGGCTTCCCATGTGAAAAGGCCGGGAGCAGTGGCCAGGGAAAATGGTTTCTCTGGAAAGTCCAACACTTTGGAAGGACAGGCTGCAAAGCCAGTGCTGAGTCCCTGTCCTCTGGCATCAGTGGCATGTGTGAGTGAGGCTGAGGGTTGGAGTGTCACAGCAGCTGCCTGAAGTTCCAGGGTGGGGGTGGGGAGTAAAGGGGCAGGAAGGGTGAGAGGGGTTGGGGGGAGGGAACAGGGTAGCCCAGTGACCTGAGTGGTCTCTCCACTTTAAAGATGACAGAATGAGTCTGGAAGAGGGAAGAGCTATGTCCAGGATGCCACGGTGTCATGGTAGCTGAGCTAGTGTGCCAACCCTAGGGGGCTGTTGGCATCCAAGCCGGCCTTTGCCTAGCAGCTGTGTCCTGCCATCAGCTATAGGTGGCTCTGGCCAGCCAGCATCTGCAGTGTCATTGGAGTGACTCAGTTGTGTGAGGCCAGGGCAGCCTTGTCACGCCCAGCGATTGGTGTGGGACCCCACATTTAGCTAGCTGGAGAAGAAGCTATGCAAGAAGCTCCTAGAGGGGATAGCGGCCGGGTGGTGGGGCCCTCCCTGTTCTGCACAAGCCCCTATGGAGTGGCTGGGTAGGTGACACATCAGGAGACACCGAGCCAATGGGAGCTGCAATCCTGAGCGCAGACCCTGACTTCTGGGGAGGGGACGATGGAGGCATAGGAGCCATCCACTACCTCGCTCTGTTTCTTGTGGCCCTGCAGGTGCCACTGCTGTGCCCAGCTGTGCCTTAGGGGCTGTGCTGGCAGGACGCCTTTCCTCACACCAGGCCCTGGGAGCTGGGCCTTCTGCTCCTGTCCCTTCGAAGCTCCTTCACTTGAAGAGGGAGCTGGGGCTGGGCCCCCAGAGCCAGCCCGAACTGCTGGGGGAACAGCCTAGCTGGGTGTGCCTAGTCCTTGGCTGCCCTGCTGCTGGGTGAGGAGGGACAGCAGAGGGCCCAGGACAGCAGGGAGCCGTCGGGAGGCCTGGGATCTGGCAGCCTTTGCCTGGGGCTGGCTGCTCAGAGGGCCTGCATTTCACCCTGTGTCCCAGAGGGCTGGGCGGCCTGAGCCAGGGACTCCCCACTGTGCTTGGTGCAGAAAGAGCTGATGCCCAGCGGTCCACGTACTCGGCCTTTTATCACAGTACCAGGAAGCGTGTGGTTGCGGGGATCTGGCAGTGTGTCCTACATTGTTAGGGACCACCGTAGACATGAGATGATGGTGTGAGTTCCAGGCCAGACTGCCTGGGATCCACCGGGCTCAGTGCTCACTGGCCTGTGCCATTGGTGGTCGCCCACCCTGAGGTTTAGTCTCCTTATCTGTAAAATGTGGGTAGTAACAATCCTGCTTCCAGGTGGGAAGTGTCTTGAGGACTTAGTAAGATGAGTGTTGAGGCATGACGCACTTGCCTGTTACTGTTTTTACTTTAATTTTATCCCAACAAAACCTGTAAGAGGAGAGATGGGAGATCAGGAAGCAGCAGAAGCTGCAAGGAGGGGGAGTGGTCTGGCCAGGCTTATTGAAGGCGACCTGGTCTTGAGGGATAAACACGGGCTGTGGGAGTGAAGCTAACAGTGCGAGTACCTGGAACAGCTACCACAATGGGGTGCAAACTGTGTGGGCCCTGGGCCCCCAGCCGCCTCACCCAGGCACTGTGCAGGTGGAGAGAAGGCACTTTGGCAGGACACAGCTCGCAGGCCGGGATGGGCCACTGAGGCATGGGGCCGAACTGACCAAGCAGTGCTTCCCAGACTTGCCGAGTTCAAGACCAGTCAAACTGAAAAAAGTATTTTGGAGGCTGAGTGTTGCTGACTTTAAAATTTTCCGAGAAAGGATATTACAAGAAAAATCTCAGCCACCGAGAAGACTTGCAGGCCTCTCCCTGTCAGTCTCACTGGCCTGAGAGAGCAGGGCCAAGGCCAGGGGCCCAGTTACTCCCCTTGACACCTTGGATAAGCAGCCCGACACCTCTCGGCCTCCAGGTAACACCCAGCCTCACTCAGGAACCTAGCGCAGTGCCCATCTCTTGGAAGCGCCTGGAGACTTGCACCTGAACGCGCAGTGTATGGACGGCGTACAGGCAGGGAATACAGGCAGGGTGGCTTGCTGCTAGCCGCCCACCTGCGCAGGGGAAGCGCGACCGGAGGGGCTGGGCTGCGCATTTCCTCTCGACAGGAAGCTTCACCAGGGCTTTCTACCTGACACGACACCTTAGAAAAAGGCGGCTGTTAGGGACGTTTTCTGTTAGGTAGAAGTGGCCTACAGTCTCTGTCCCAGACGCCAGTGTATATCTTGGTCCTTTCTGGCCCCAAGGTGGGGTAGGGGAGAGAATGAGCCCCAGCAGCCTCAGCCCGGCTGCTGTGTCAGAGGGCGCTGGTGCCACCGTGCACAGAGCCACTGCAGTGTCGGAAGCTTTTTCACACCCGGGGAAGCTTGGGGCTGCCCTTGTCTCCTTCACTTTCCTCTGCTGGTGAGGATCAGAGACATGCAGCAACTGGCCTGGGTCACACAGATGGTGGTAGGTGCTGGGGGAGTTGTGATTTGGCGTGATGATGTTGTGTTTAGTTTGGGACCAAATGCTTTCTGGGAAAGTAAAATTAACATATTTGATGCTAACGGTGATGTCTTTAAAAGAGAAAATCATCCCGTAAGACCAGAGTGTATTTTTAGCACTAATCTTTGCTTTTCCCCTTATGATTGTCAAAGAGACCCCACAGTTAGGTCTCAGCACTCCCAGGACTGGTGGGAAGGGTCCCAGCACTGTGGTTCCAGGCATGTGTGTCAGAGGAAGCCCAAACTGGGGAGTCTGTTCCTGGTGCCCAGAATATTTCTCTCCGCCCCAGTGACCGGCTCCTGGTCAGTCCTCAGCCTGAATGGACTGACTGGTCCCCTGGATCCCAGCTGGGCCATAGGTGCTGCAGAGAGCAGGCTGGTCTTGCTGACCGAACTCCCATACCCTGGCGGGCAGAAGAGTGCTCAGAGGCTGGGTGGCAGAAAGGTGGTGGCAGGGGAATGAGTGCGCGCTTTGGGCAGTTACTTTCTGAAGTGGCTTTAGCGGTTGACTTTGAGGAAGAGGCCTCTTGGCAGAAGGGAAAGGTTGAGGGAGTTGTACAGTTTCCTCTCACTAACAATCCTCGTATTTATGGGTTACCCGCTCGGAGGAGTGACGAATGCTTTCGGCCTGTGGCAGACTCTCGGTGAGCTGCTTAACTGTGGAAGGTGGTAGAATTGAAGGCCTTCTCCTTTGAAAAGCCACGTACCAGCCATCTGCAGTTGCCGCCTAGGAGAGGGACGAGCTAGCCCTCCTGTAGGATGGATGCACGGCCAGGACAAGTGTCCAAGACATGCCCTGGCCCTTTCTGTTTTGGGAGGCAGGCGGCACAGTAAGATGGGGGCCCTCCTGTAAGTAAGGCCTGAGCTGTGCACTCAGCCTTGTGTGCACCCTTGGACAAGTCCATTCTTTAGTTTGTGAATGATGAGGGTTCGGGCATTCCCTGCCCATGCCTGCCTGTGTCCTGTGACTCTCAGACAGCCCCGAGAGTGTGGGGTTTGTGGCGGGTGGTATAGCAGTCCAGGTGAGCTCTGCTGGTCCCATTGAAGGGAGTGGATCTCAGATGGGAGTTCTGGCCTCAGCTCTGCCACCAGCTTAGCCGGTGACCTTAGGCAGGTTTGCTGCTCTCTGGAGCTTCACTTTCTCAAGTACAGAGTCAGGGCAGGTTCCTTCCAACACTGCCGTGTCTGCTCTGAACCCCGCTCAAGAGAGTGGACAATGAATGTCTCTTGGGAGGGAGGATAATGGCGTTGATAGGAAGTATGCCAAGTAAACCTTTGCGGAAATGTTCATGCAATTTGTGCGAAACTTATGTACGACACTCTGCCTTTGGAAACAGCTTCTGACTTTTGTCATTACAGGAGGATATGGCTGCTCACGTGGGCGCTTCCCGGACTCCCCAAGAAGTGATGGAACATTACGTGAGCATGTACATCCATGGCAACCTGGGCAAAGCCTGCATCCCTGACACCATCCCCAACCGGGTGACAGACCACACCTGTCCCAGCGGAGGCCCCCTCTCGCCCAGCCTCACCACCCCGCTGCCTCCCCTGGACATCTCGGTGGCGGAGCAGCAGCAGCTGGGCTACATGCCGCTGCGGGACGACTACGAGATTGAGTATGACCAGGACGCGGAGACGCTCATCAGCGGGCTCTCGGTGAACTACGACGACGACGACGTGGAGATCGAGCTCAAGCGCGCCCACGTGGACATGTACGTGCGGAAGCTGAAGGAGCGGCAGCGCCGCAAGAACATCGCCCGCGACTATAACCTGGTGCCAGCCTTTCTGGGGAAGGACAGGAAGGAGAAGGAGAAGACGCTGAAGCGCAAGATCACGAAGGAGGAGAAGGAGCTGCGCCTGAAGCTGAGGCCGCTCTACCAGTTCATGTCGTGCAAGGAGTTCGATGACCTGTTTGAAAACATGCACAAAGAGAAGATGCTCCGGGCCAAGATCCGGGAACTGCAGCGCTACCGGCGGAACGGCATCACCAAGATGGAGGAGTCGGCGGAGTACGAGGCGGCGCGGCACAAGCGCGAGAAGAGGAAGGAGAACAAAAACCTGGCCGGCTCCAAGCGCGGCAAGGAGGACGGCAAGGACGGCGAGTTCTCCGCCATCGAGAACCTGCCCGGGTTCGAGCTCCTGTCCGACCGCGAGAAGGTGCTCTGCAGCTCTTTAAACTTGAGTCCCGCGCGCTACGTGACTGTGAAGACTATTATCATTAAAGACCACCTCCAGAAACGACAAGGAATCCCCTCCAAAAGTCGCCTTCCTAGTTACTTAGACAAAGTCCTAAAGAAAAGAATTTTGAATTTCCTCACGGAGAGTGGCTGGATCTCCAGGGACGCGTCTTGAGGCAGCAGGCGCCCTGGAGCCAGCGTGACCTGGGGTGCTGCCCCACTGTTGCTCTGTTTTAGACAAATTGAGTTCCTTTTTTTAAGATACAAGTTCTTTTCATGGTCCTCTGAAAGCAGCAATAGTGACAATCTTATATTGGATCATGGGGGAAAGAAATATAAGTCTATTTTAACTTAATCCTAAAAGTAATACTTTAAGATGATTTGCCTTTACCTGTTCGGTTTGGAGAGTATTATGAGATTGGATAATTTCTTTTTATTTTGTGAGCTTTCTTCCCTTTGGGTACAAAAACTGTTGTGCTATGGGGAACAGGAGCATGGTTTTCCCGCTGGACTGCAAGCAAAAGCGCTTTCCCGGTGACACAGCTCTTCTCAGCGGGGCTGCGGGAGGCTCCCTTCTCTGAGCCCACATGCCCCAGCTGACCCCGGTGCGCCCGGGCACGAGGCACTTTACAGGGAGGCAGGTCGGGCACAGATCCACTGTGTAGCAGATGAAGAGAGGCCAGAGAACAGGATGATGTTTCCATAGAATTTAATGAGGAAGAATCTGTGGTTGAACACAATGACCAGATCACCAGTTTGAGCCTGCAGTCCCCAGGTCCCCAAACTGAGCCTCGCCTCGTTCTGATCTGGGCAGAGCCTGCTGGTTCCCTTGGGAAGATTAGTGACCCCCAGGGCCGGCTCCCTTAGTGTGGCCATGTCCCTATGAGGACAGGGCTGGTGTGGACTGCCAGAACCTGTAGACCAGCTTCCCAGGGCTGAGTGTTGCTGTTGGTACGTGCAGTGCATTTTACTTTGGAAGAACCGGCTTTAAAAAGTTTAAGGCTAAGAGTTCTGAGTTCTGGCGTTAAATTCCTCAGGATTTTCATCACGGTTGCAAGTACCCTTTTTGCTGAAACACGAGCACACTCGCCTGGCAAAGCATCTTCAGTGTCACGAGGCCAGGGCAGTTCTGACCAGCGTGTCGTGGGCCATGCCTCAGCCTGCGCGCTGCTTCTCTGTTAACTGTCCTGAAGCAGACTTAGAAATGGCTTCTTCCCAGCCCTGTAAGTTTCTTTCTGGGGCCTTCCTTCAAGGATATACATGGTACCTTCCTGAAATTTGAGGAAGTCTTTTGTCTTCCGGCTGCTCAGGCTGCTCACGCTGCTCAGGGTTCTCCCGCCTATGCCTAAGACCCTGCTTTAAGGAGAGTCTGGAGTGACAGTCCCAGCACTCCATTCTTTCAGGAGCTTGTCTTGCCTCTCCTGCCCCCATAGGTACCAAGAGACTATTTACCTCCCACAATGTTTGGGTGTGAAGTTACATTAAAGTGAAGTTATTTGAAAGAAAAAAAAAAAAAAAACCTCATCATTTCCAAGGACAACTTAATTACTGTGCCTTTTCCTTTCTTTTTACATCCTTCTGTCCCCTAGGGTAAATTTTTCAGCATTAAATAAAACATTTCAAATATATGGTATATGGCTTTAGTTGTAAAGTACATTGCATGCTGGCAGAAGCGTTCCCTATTAGCTGAGTCCAGAACTCTTCTTTTGACAATAAAAGTACTGAGCAGTGGTATTACTCATGAGGGCCACCTCCACATTGTCCCCTGCAGGACAAATACGATTGACAGAAAGCTGACCTTGTCTACCACTGAATGTAATGGAGATGGTGCTAAGTTTTTACAGTTGTCTTGGCCAGTGGTTCTCAAAGTGGGGTTCCTGGCCCAGCAGCATTAGCGTCCCCCAGAAACTTGTTAGAAGTGCAGACACTCGGGCCCACCCTGTCTCCGGACTCAGCCATTCTGGGGGTGGTGCCCAGAGCTATGCGACAAGCCCTCCAGTGACAGGATGCAGATTCACGCTTGAGAACCACTGGCTTCAGCTATTCTGGTGTCTCATTCATTGGTTTAACATCAGAATCCTAGTTTGGTGAGGTTTTAAGTTTAGTCTTATTTTTATATAAAACAATTGCCAGACTTGTATTAAGCTTGAGAAGCAGAAAATCCCTGTAAATGTGTATGGCCTAGGCCAAGAGCTGTCAAATGAAAAACTTTGTGCTGAAGCAGGTTTTTAGTATGTATCTTTTTGACGGTATGAAGAATTTATTTAGGCTTGACTGTTTTAAAACACCATAATGAATGTATAATTAATTTATATTAAAGTATTAATACTTTGTTACAAGGGAAAGGTGATTTTGATTGGCTGCCTCTTAGCCTGTCAATTCCAGCTGTCACTGTCACAATAGTGCTTACCTCTGCTGGTAGCTCAGAGCCTCTGCATTTTTATATTTATTTCTCATGATAAATTTGCCACCACAATCCCATGGAATTAGGTCTTTTTAAAATTTAAGCAAACTCTTTGAGTCAAAAAAGTTGGGTAATTTTCTCCAGCCATTTGAAATAATGCTCTCTGGATGGCCAACATTCCAAGAATGTATTAAAAACTGAAACTCTGACTACCATTTTTATTATCCTTTTATGTATTAAACAAGTTGAGAACAAAGTGGTGTCACTGCTTGCTTCTTGCCACTTGTTCCTTGAGACTGTTTTTCAGAGCACACAGATCCGGGTGAGCCAGTGCACACAACAGGTGAACTGTCACGTGACATGGTCCAGTCTGGCGTTTCTGTATCAAACCAATTTTCCCAACAACAAAAAAATGTTGCTTTGTTAGGCAGAAACCCTTTCTTGCCAGCCCCCCTCCCTGACAGTAGCAGTATATCTTGAGAAGACAAGTCTTCGGTGGAGCCAGGCTGACGTTCAGAGGCTTCTGAGGGTCTGTTACGGACTTTTGGTTCTGGTTTTGACTGTCTACATGTATGACTTAGCCATGCCGCAATTAGGCTAAATCTAGTAACTTGACTAGAATGTAGCTGAACAAATCTTTAACTTCCAGCGTAAATAAGTACATAATTAAAAGATGTTTTCCTATGACAGGTTTAGTATCTCTAATCCAAAAATCTGAAGTACTCCAAAATCTTAACTTTTTTGAGCCCCAACATGATGCTCAAAGGAAAGGCTCATTGGAGCATTTCGGACTTAGGGATTAGGGATACTCAACAGCAAGTATGACGTAAATACAGCCATGTGCTGCATGACAATGTTTCAGTCAAGGATGGACCACATACACTGACATTCTGTAAGATTATAATACCATGTTTTCACCTACCTTTTTCATATTTAAGTATGTTTAGATGCACTAATACTCACCATGTGCTACAGTTGCCTATGGCATTCAGCATAGTGACTTCCTGTTCAGGATTGTAGCCTAGGAGCGATAGCTATACAAATCTAGGTTTGTATAGTATGCTCCGCTTGCACAATGACAAAATCGCCTGACAACACATTTCTCAGAACATATTCCTATTGTTAAGTGACACATTTGACTATTCTAAAAAACCAAAATTCAAAGTGCTGTGGTCACAAGCATTTCAGGTAAGGAATACCCAACCTATAGTGGTGATGACTGAAACTTACAGTGAAGAAGCGTTTTGCCACATTTCAGCTATATTGTCTCTAGCTTATGAGTTTAGTGCTTTAGCAATCACAGATCTAGATGAAAAGGGATTATACACATTCATAGAAATTAGTTTCAAAATTACTTTTCTTATTCAGCCTTCATTTCTCAGATGAGTTCCAGAGAGGTCAAAGATGTACCCACAGCTACACTATATAAAAATAGGCAGGGGTGTAACTCCAGTAGTGTTTTCTCCAATGTTATGTTGCCCTTAGTTCTGGGTGGGCTCAAATTCCTGGGCTCCTCCCGCCTCAGCCTCCCAAGTAGTTGGACCAGTGGGGTATGTTTTTGACTAAGGCAGCTTAAAGGAAAGGAGGAAAATGTCTAGAAATAGTCTACGATGAAACTTTAATTACAGGACTATTACCTACATCTTTCAAAATCATATGCAAAATAAATTGTCTATACCCATCTTTTTTGCATAGCAAACGGATTTATCAGCATTGCCCTTCAATCCTAGAAGTACCACTGCTAGAAGCAAAGGCAGTAGAAAGTTATTTTTTTCTCTTATTTATAACAGATACTTCACTTCCTCAGTCCCCTGTGTGTTTTTTGTTCTAATACGACAGGCTGCAAGGCTGAGTGTCAGCTGGCAGCACTGGCCGGGGCGCGTGCATAAGGGGAGAGCAGCGCGTCAGGCCGGCAGCTTCAGAGAAGGCAGGGTCACACCTGCCCCAGTGGCTCAAGGACCTCCTTCACCAAGGGACACAAAATTATCAGAAAGCAGGGATATAAACATATTAGGGTTTTAATACTCTTAAATAAAAATTTTAAACATTAACATTTAAGGCATCTTACTAGGGAGTATACCTTTCAGTCATTAGTAACTAGTTAAATATGGATTTAAATATTTCCACATTTAGATGAACAACACGGAAAAAAGAACTGATTTTGTCAAACTCAATTACTGGCAAAATAGAGCTGGTGAGAACTGTTAACACATGTTCACTTCACATGTCCACAGAAAAGGCAGAGCTCACTCATTTTTAGCAGCTAGGCAGTGACTGATCATAAATGAACTCATATATGTTCCTTCATGTGGGTCATCACATATTTTTTTTTTTAGCAAGAAAAATGTCTCAACTCAAATGTACAGTGGGCTAAGTATGCCAGTGACCCGCACGTGACAGTGAGTGCAGAAGACACGGTACAGACTGGTGTGTCCAGGAAGCCAAAGAGCAGAATTCCTGAAGACTTTTTATTTGTTCAAAATACTGAGCCTTCACCAGAGTGTGAGCAGATACAGCGTTACTCATGAGACTGGAGGCCCAGCAGTGTCCTGCTGGTGCTCTTCTATACGTGGAACTACTATACGTGAACAATCAGCGAACAGACTCCAGAATTAGAGTTCATTACCACAATTGTGCAACCGGCTTAATTTTCTGTTTAGCCACTGGTTACTTAAGCTTTCCAACAAGGTTTGGGAAGAGGTCAAATATATGCATAGATGAGAAAAGATGAACCAGCTTTTTAAGAGTTACAGCAAGTGACTTAAAAAGACCAAAACCCCACAAGAGGTAGCTAAGCTTCCTTCACCACTCCCACCAGGGCGGGTCTCAGGGTTCGCCCGTGCAGCTTGTACCCCACCTTGTTAACTAGTGCCACTGTGCCTGGCTCCTTCCCCTCAACTGGTGTGTGGAACAAGGCCTCATGTTCGTAAGGGTTGAACTTGGCTCCGACAGGGTTCAACTTGAGTAAACCGTGCTTTGTGAACACCTTCTGAATCTGGACTTCAGTCATTACGAGCCCCTCATACAGGTTCTTCAGGTGAGGGTTATCGTCTTTAATTTCTTCTTTTGGAACACACTGTGTTGCCTTCTCCAAAATGTCTGCAACCTCCAATAAGTCCTTGCAGAAGGCCTGAATGCCTAAATGAAGATAAGGAGCACTGTTTACTTCATGCACAGGCTATTTAAAAACTTGTCAAATCACTCATTTGCCCGAGTTTCAATGTCTTCATAATTAAAAAAAAATATAAAACAAAACCCTCCAAACTACCTTTTATGAGATAAGACCTAAAATTTACTAAAATGTGGATGAAATGAAGCACAGGAAGAGGGGAAAAATACCCTTGAGACATCCAAGCAAAGATGTCAAGTAAGCAAAAGAATATATGTGACCAGGACTCTCAAATACCAGAGCTGAAGTAGAGACCTGTACACAAACGCCCAGCAAACCCACGAGAGTGCCTAAGTCACCCAGGGAATGTGCAAGAGAAGAGAAGAGGCCTGGCACCACATCCTGAAGAACCCAAACATTTAGAGATCAGACATTTAAGAAGCCACCAAAGGGCAGTACCAGAAAGAGAGGAAGAATACCAGGCAACTGAGCCGACAGCAGCCAGGAAAATAAAATGTTTCAAGAAGGGCTTCATTATTTGTGTTGCATGTGGCAGTGAGATGAGATCTGGGACGTGTTGCCGGTGGCCTGTCACCCCATCCCTCACCCCCATCTGTCCTGGGGCAAACCATTTACCCTCTCACTCTGCACCGTTGGCTCCTCATCTGTGACATCTGCCTGACAGTTATGCCTAGGCCCACGATGAAAATTCAAACAGTAGCCTCATGTCCAACAAACACCACAGATGTGGGGCCCGGAGCTGGGCCTCAATGCCACCACCATTACCTACTAGCTCTGTGATGTGAGGCAAGTCATTAAGCCTCAATGATCTCAACTGTAAAATGGGAAGAAGAGCAACAAAGATATCCAAAGGTGACAATGCAGATAGCATGCTGAGAGTTCTGAAGGGATGGCCATGCTACCTCTGGGACAGCAAGGGGGCCGAGCATGGGAGGCTGACTCGCTCCAGTTGGCTGCAGGTTTCCACCACGGTCTCCATGTGAGGCACAGTAAACCCACTCCCTAGAAATGGTCGCACCTTACAAATCTAAAGGTTAGTCCTGACTACATACTTTCTGCTCCTCCAGACACCTTTACTGCTGACCCATCTTAAAAAATGGGAGGGGATCCAACTGCTGTCCTCTTCCCCTCTGTCTTACTCTTTTGACACCCACACACGCATGCCTCCCATATCATGCCCACAGTCACCATATAACTTTGCCTCCTCCACCAACTTCTGGCTCCTCTGCCGCAAGTTCTCAGTATCCGCCAAAGCTCGTTTATATTTTTCCTAAAAGAAAAAAAGGAAAACGGAGATTTCTATGAATAAAATATGGAACAAATTCATAGGAAAGCAAGTCTGATTTGAAAATGATTATATAACAAACTCTAAGTCAAAATACAAATAACATGTACTATTACTTTTGGAATTTTGGACTCAAACAGTGCAGCTTAAGAAGAATAATTTACACCTGTCCCAATGTTTCCAAGGAGTGTGGAATGACATCATGGTGTCATGTACTCACTCGTACAGTCCCCAAGCCTATTCTTAGTTGAGTGCATAGAGAGGGAAAGGACAAGAACTTCTGCTTTCCTGGGGTTCTCAAGATCTTATCACCCGACGAGCAAGAACATTCTTTCCCCAGCAGAATGCCCAACCTCAGGGAACCACAGAGCCCTAGCTAGGGGCTGACCATGTCAAATCTCATTCCTCAGAGGAAACCTTAGGAGGAGAACTAATGGACATGGGCGGAAAGTTTAAGCCTCTATTCCATCAAAGAGATAAAACTCCATCCACAACCCTTTGGTATTTTCGGTGTTGCCCAGAGGTGATTCAGTTCACACATTCATTGTTAATGACCATCTGAGTTGTGGTATCTTCCTACTTTCTCACCACTGTTCTACAAACTCACTCATCTCCTGAGCTTTTCTATTTCTAACATTTACCAAATTACTCTGTGGGGGCCTCTATACCCCATCGGTTTTCAGTCTTCAGGTAATTACAGGGAGCACAAAGAGCAAGAGCTCCAAGTCCAGATGGTCCCGGTTCAAACCCTGGCTTTGCCAATGTTATGGTGAGGATTAATATACAAGCTCAGAACAGTCCCTGCACGTAGTGTTTGATGCCATCATTCTTAAATCCTCAA